TTCCCCTCATCCTTTAGTTCTTATTAATATGGATGCTGATGCTTGCTTGTTATCTCTGCCCTTTCTTCTCTTGATTTAATAAAAACCCTGCTGCATTTTTCTTCAATGTCCATTTTGAAGGTTTATCTTTACAGTTGCACGTTCCGTCTGTCATGTTTTTGTTCGTTTCTCTCTCTCATCTGTTTGTTTCACAGCAGTTTTACCATTATCATATTACCTTTTACCTTCGCTGCCATTGCATCAGTTTCTACAGCATTACAGGAAATTGCATTTGACATATTCAATGGCAGGGCTCTGTTTTCACTAGCAAAAGGCCTCTAAATTCAGTCTGGCCCCATTATATCTAAAAAGGCTTCTAACAAATAATCATCCATTTTTTTCATTTTTTTTTTTTAACTCAATTTATCAGCAACAGCAAGCTTCTTTTTTTCTGCAAGACAATCATTATTTTTCACTTATTCAAATCTGCACCACTTATTCAAATCTGCACCAATCAATTCTATAGCTGTGGGTCAAATTACTGTGAAACTCGACGCGGTGAGCATTTTCTTTTGTATTTTTTTTTTTAGCTTAGGTTGTAGGACATCAAACCACAACATAACTGTTTTGGTTATTTCATAATAAACCCTGTTTAAATCACAGGCCTGGCAACAAAACCTCAGACAGACAAAGTTAAAGACTAGCCAGGGGGGTGAAATGATCTCATTAGGAGCCCAGAAGAACCACAAATATTATTGTAACTCTTAATAGCTGGATCTGTATGTAGGGTGCGTGTTTGGCACACTCAAAGTTTAGTCGATATTTAACCGTGAGCAGGAGGAAGCAGGAAGTATTGACTGAGATATGAAGCTGCTTTTTTCGGCTGGCTTTGAGAGGGAACGGTTTGGTAAGTAAAAAGATAAATAGAGCTGGTTGAAAAAATGAACGTTGCTCACGTAACGGGATTGTTTATGCCTTGTTGTCGTTTGTATATCTGCAGATTTTACTGTTATTTTGTTAATGGTGATGTAGAGTGCAACATCAGTGCAGTCAGCCAGCTTCACTCCCGTGACCTCGATGTTTAATTACCAGCACCCACTCCTTCTTTCTCCACCGCAATATAGCGATATTATGCGGATACCATGATATGAGACTAGATATCATCTTAGATTTTGGATATCCTAGTATACAAAATGTTATCTTTTTCATCTTTTAAAGGCTAATGTGATTTTTAATTACTTATCTTATTTACCAGATTGTTTTTTTTCTTTGGTTTGCCCCCACGACCCTGTGTGCAGGATAACCGCTTTGAAGATGGATGGATGGGTCCTTACATTTTTGTAAGAAATTATCATATAAATTACAAATATACAATATAATATTGTACAAATTATAAATTATTTAAAATATAAAATAATTGTGTGAATATATTATTAAAAGTCAATAGTCATCCCCTCATCTTGGCCAAATCAATTAGGCCTATTTTCTATCCCTGTATTTTGGCCTTACTTAGTCCCTGCTGCCATTTCTGTCCCTCCTTTTATTTATTTATTTATTGCCACTGTGGATACTAGACTAAGGCCATTACGGCCTCATGTCTTCCTACCCGGCACTGAGCTGCCGATCATCTTACTGCTATCCTTGCTGGGGATATTAATAGCACGTATGCCAAGACAGGATTTCCTGTAGCATCTGTGCTAACCCTGTAACGTCCACCTTTAACTTGTCTATATAAACACATCATCTGTGCTGGTCGAGAAATCCCGCTCATTAAACATCCGCTGGTATTTGCTCTGTGCAGTAGTGGTTTTAGATTACAAATCTGGTTGCTTGTACGTTTCAGTGTGTGCGGCTGCCCTGATGGTGTAATTGGATGAGGACATGAACAGATGGTCTGCTAAAGGAAGTGTATTAACTCCAGACGTACTCTTTAAAGAAGTCAAAGATCAAAACATGTTGCCTGTGTACCTGTGACTAGTCATGAACCACCTTTCACAGCTAATAACCTCTTTATTATCATCTTCTGTATCTATATATGTTTTTTTACAATTGCACTGATTCCCCCCAAAACGTGTTGCTCATACTCACTCACACACACACAATCTCTCCCTCTACTATATTATGTTGTATAAATGAAGACCTTGTCTTTTTATCTGTGGGGTAACAGCACCGGCAGAGGAGGAGATAATCACTTTAAGTAGTGAGGGATTAAGACTAAAAGTCTTTGCTGGGCTTTAATTCTTTGTTCTCATTCAGTCAGAAACTACCATATTTTTTATATTTTTCTCTCATTGTCTCTATTTTTATGACATTCTTTAAATCGATTTTCATGTGACCCGCCCCCAGCCGAACTAGTATGAAAGCCCAACGTTGGGACGTCTGAGGATTGCAATGTCCAGCTGCAGCAATGCCCCTTCCTTCCTTCCTTCCTTCCTTCCTTTTTTCGTACCCACCTGTCAGTCGTGGTTAGACGACCAGCAGAGCCCGTGGGGGAGTAAACGGGACGGGGTGAGGCTGGTCAGGTGAAGAGTTTTTGGCAAAAGTGGAAAGAAGGTGTGCTGCACAAATAGACTTTTCATCTAAGGAAGAAAACGATAATAAACAGCTTAGTGAGCCCCGCCTACCAACGTATAGCCGCCATGCCGTCAGAGATGATGGAGTAAAGAGGGAGGAGTAACATTCCTGCATGACAGATTCCGCTGCCTCCCTACAAACACTTCTGGAGATGTTTAGACACCCAACACAACTCTGTACCAAAAGCAAAATAACCTGTTACCCAACAGGGATTAAACGGGTGGTTTAATCTGTATTGGTTTGAATTCAGTCCAAGTCTGCGGTTTTTAATATTGGTGAGTTGATAATGGACTGGTTTGGATTGTCATCCAGGGGGATTATGAACAAAAGACAAATCCAGTGTCATTCTGGAGGAGCAACAAAAGCTGTATTCATTAAAGTATTACTCGATCGACAGAAGATGTATCTAATCACATGATGCAAATTTTAATTGCTTCAAACATTCACAATTTCCAACTAATGAAGTAATCAAAAATTCTTTATCCTGTTCAACACTGCAGCTCTTTGTGTGTCTGCGCAGGCGGACAACGTCTATTTGTAGAACCCTTGTTTTCATAGTAATGAGACTGAAGCACGGCTGGTTGGGTTAGATGTTTAGACTACGGCCCCCCTAAATGTGCACTGCTCTTTCATGCTCTCTCCCACTCTGGGCTTTCTCAATTTCTCTCCTCTCCATTCCTGCAGTCAGATCCGCCGTGTGTTTGAAAACGTGCGGTTGCTGCTCCTGCTTTGTTTCCCAGGACGACTAGAAGCTGCATTCAGACAAATACTCTAATTGTCTTCTGTTTTCTACGGTCTTCAAATCCTCTTACTCTACTCGACCTCATTCTCAGAGGAGGAGTTAGGACAAGACGTTGCAGTCACAGAGCTTTCATGTGCTGCTGTAATTGGACTTTTTTTTTTTTTTGTACAGCAGGTCAACCTCTGTCTCTTGCCAAATGCTTCCCATCAGTTCCACCTTGTGTCTGATCCAACAGTGGAGAAGGTATGTGCAAAAAATGTGAGCCTGCCCTTACTTGGCTAAAGCTCCCCTGTCATGTCACTCCTCCTCGGAGGCCCAGTCTGTGCACTTCCACTGGCCCCTTGTGTTTATTAAAGACCATTACACCATGTTGGTCCGACACGAGGTGCCTCTGCCGTCTAGATGGAGACTACGGAAGCTCCGAGCTTTAACTGATCTTCAACCTAAATAGAAAAATGTATTCTTCCCGTCATTTTTTGTTTTGACAATCATGCATCAGCATGCAATTGATGTCCTTCCCTCCTCGGAAACTCCTGCGGTTTCCAACAGAGTACAATCACACAGAGGGCTTAATTATGCTTTTCCCGTCAAAGTGTGTAATGCTGCTGAGTAGACTTGTCAGGAGCTGCTCGGCGCTCCGGCAATGCATTCTTTTCCCCGTCTTCCTCTGTCACTGTACCACTTGCTGCTGTGTTTTTCCCTGTAAGAAAACACTTCCTGCAGGTCTATACTCTTTAATTCTTATCGCTATCCCCAACCACTCACCCTGCTGCTCATATCCTTTTTTTTTTTTTTAAGTATACTTCCTACTACAGTATAGTTTGGTATTGCATACAGAAGGTGTTAGCTAACTCTGACACAGATGCTGCGTGCGGGATTTGTACGACTCACTGACACCAGTGACATGGAAACATCTGGCCATGTGGAGGCTAATATTCCGAACCAAAACCCGTCGCACACACGAGGCAAGTGGCATTTCTTCATATTCGCTTGTCATTAACCTCAAGTTGTTGTTGAGAGCATGGGTCGAGGATTGTGGATGTTAGGATGTTAGGGACACAAAGGACCTGCACGAAGCGTGTGTGTGTGTGGTTGGTATTTTTTAGAGGACTGTAAGGTTTCCTTTGTGCAGGTCGATGGGATCCTGAGCTCAAACTTCTATCCTTTTTTTAAATTCAATCCTTAAATTGCCAGGAACGTACGTTTCGGCTTGCTAGTGTGATGAGGTACGACGTAGCCAAAGCAACGCAACATCAAAGCAGTTCATCCGAACTATTCGCAAGTGCCGAGGACGTTTTATTCTGCACATTCTTAAACGCCTTCGCGTGTGATCAGTCAGATAAACCTACTTTTATTCCGAGCAGCCGTTATTCTGTGAAACAAGCACACAGCTGCTAGCAGACACTTGTTTAAATTGCCAAGCAGGAAGGAAATTAGTTCAGTTTAAGAAAAGAGGAAGTGAGAACAAGGTGGGATGAGAAGTTTCCTGTCACTGGTGTGGCAACCATCACTATTCGGCCCTGCTCCCTCGTCTCTCTCGAATGAATGAGAGAGAGGTTGTGTTTTCTAAGTTGTGCCTGCAAGGAAACCTTTTTTTATTTGTGTTCACATGAATTATTAGTTTTTTCCTTTGTACTAAAATTGACTAAATACAAGTATGTCTATGTCCATTTTAACTTACAACCCAACCATCCTCCCCTCTCAGAACAAGTCTCATATCACCTGGATAGAGAGGGATTTTGCCAATATTAGAGTCAAGGTAAGCACGGACTACTTCTGCTGTACAGCTGCTTTATAGCAAAGCAATCCGCGCCAAACACTCAGGCTGTTGCTTACTTTGACATCTTTGCGTTTAATCTTTCTCCGGCTTACGCACGCACCAGTATTTTCAAATCTTTCGTATTGTCTAAATTTCAACACATCATCTTTCGCCTGCTATCGTGCACGCGCACACGCACTCTCGCACGCACACACCCACACAGACTCTCTCTTAGCTGTCGACTTTGTGCGAGACTCGTGGCTGCAGGACTGTGAGTGAGCGCACGTTGTTCCTTCCTGCCCTCTTTGGTTCCAGTTCACTTCAGCTGCAGGCCGTCACTGAGGGACACAGAGCGATGGAGAGAGGGAGGTCCAGAGGGGTAATGCAAGAGAAGATGAAGAGTTATAGCTGAGTGCCACTGCAGATAGAATAGATTAAAGGGCACCGGCTGAGCGATTGTTCCATATTTACTCAATGTTTAGAGGACTAATCCCGACATTGGCTGCCCGGATGAGTGTAAAGTGAGATGAGGTAAGGTTTGCGATGATTTATGTCGGCTCGTGCGGCGGTTGCCTTCTCATGGACGTGAGCGGGAGGAAGATTAAGGAGAGGCTTCGGCGATGCTAAAGATGGAAAAGGACAAGAGAAAGTTCAACCTGAGCCGCTTGCTTACCCTCCACCTGTTCAAAAAGGACAAAGCTTTGGCCCACGGCCCTGCACAGGGTAACCGCTGCAGACCTGCAGCTGCAACAGGAAACCGCTGTGACACTTTACCGGTGCCGAGGAACCACTGGACGGTAAAGCGATACCTCCTCATGTTGGCATCTTGGTAAACTATGAGGGTAGTCTGCAAAAAGCCATTTATGTTGTTGCTGCACACTTTTAAAAACATAAATAAAGTAGCTGACGTTTGCATTAATATCGCTGCAAAGCACCAACGAGACTCGATTGCTCGCTGTCGTCTGTGGTTGTTTAGAAACAAGGTGCAGCAGAGAAACTCTGGTTTCCTGTTTTCAGATAAAGCCCTCGGCTGAAGTAGCGTGTGATGTTGGTTGTTTGTTGATTAAATGTCAGATACTTTCGCAATTTTGGTTTGACAAATAGGAAGACTGAGGAAAGTATCAAAACAAAACACAATCAATTTTTGTGAAAATAAAGTAAAATGTTAAAGCTCCTGCCAGATAATGTTTTTTTTTTTTTAGGGGTTTCCTTGTTAAATTAGATGACTAATTCATTCATCGATTTCATGATTAATCACAGTAAGAATGAGCAGTAAGAATAAATAGTTAGTAAATAAATAAAAATAAATAGTTAAAAAAGTAGTAGTCAGTAGTGATGTATCAAGTAAAATGGTTATGTGTGATAAGGTTGTATCTTGTGTCTGCACAGGACACATTTAAGGCACAAGGTTAGGCTTAGGAAAGATGTCCAACCTTGCAGTCCCTAGTTTTGAAAATACGCTTTGTAACCCTCCAGGGCTGAGGTAAAAAAAACAAATTAAAAATGGATGTTTTTCCACCAGGTATCTGAAGAAAGGGACTCATGGTGGTTCATGGCGTTGATGCGTTCTGAAGGGAGTAGATGTGTTGTGGGTGAGGTTAACACCAGGTCAGCAGTGTGTTTTTCGTGTGATTGAGTTGTCAGCTGTAGAAATGCTCCACCCAGGCAAGAACATGAAAAGCTTTTCTACGTAGTCACTATCATTTCCAGAAACTCTTTTTTTTTTTTTTTTTTTTAAACATTGACCAGAAAAACTGCGTGTCATCGCTCAGTGTTACAGAAACACATCACACTTTGTATGACACTTCCTCTTTCTGAAGCGTCTTTACTTTCATATGTTATTATTGGCAGCAGAAGACACTCCAATGAAACAACGTCTCATTTCCCACAGCAAACAATCTCTCTTCAGCATCCTCGGCACGAGGAATCCTCACAAACACGCCGCATCCTCTCTGTTGTAGCCATTTTTGTTCTGCGAGTACTCACCGGGTTGATCCTCTCTATTTTGCCCTCTTCAGGAAGATGGAGACATCAAGGAGATCAACATTACCCACGTGGTCAAAGAGGGCTCCGAGAAGGCTGATGCCTCTCAGTTTGAGCTGCTCAAGGTGTTGGGACAAGGATCCTTTGGGAAGGTAACTGCAGCCTGCGCTCCTCCCTCTGGGCGACATCGGCCTTTGCACTCTCACACGCTCAATCCCTGGTCTCCCATAACCGCAGGTGTTCCTGGTGCGAAAGGTGACCCACCCCGATGCCAACCAGCTCTATGCCATGAAGGTCCTCAAGAAGGCCACGCTCAAAGGTATTGCAGCCTGTGATGTGCTGGAATAGTCCCCAACACACGGATGTTCGCTCATCACTGCATCAATTGTATGTATTGATTATAAACGTTGATCCCGTGCTCACAAAAACGAGTCAATGAGTATGAGCAAGCAAGGGTTTTTTTTTTTTAATTATTTTTATCAAGGGACGGTATCTTGGCACGTTTTCTTTTTTTATGCTGCAGTCTGTGTTGGTTTGGCAGCATTACAGCTGTGGATAGGAATAAGATCGACCATTTGATGAAGAAAAAAGGTACCTATTGTTGGCCTGATTCTCTGGAGATCATCTGAGAGCAGAGAAGCAGGAGGAGGCAAAGAAGCGTTTTGTCAGTCTCTCCATAAAGAACAGACAGAGTTACATATTAGAATGGATCAGGTTGATACAAAGCCTTCTTTTCATTCCCTATATGCTGCAACTACTAATGCTGTTGTCTGTAGGCGGTTTGGGTGTATACATTTGATTTGTATTTTGTTGTTTAAAAGGGGCACTACCCTGATGTACCTCTTCCTGTAATTACATACATTTAGTATGTAATTATTCAGTAGGAAGACAAACCGAGCTTCTTTTTATTTGTTAACTTTTGCTCACATTTGGTCTCGTTCTCCTTTTACAAACATCAGAGCAAGAGATCTGTTCACGTGGTCCCGTGAATGGAGGTGCTCTAGTTTCACCACTTGGAAACTCTGCGTGGGCCGACCAGCCTCTTCAATTATAATTCAGCCATGTATCGATCCATCTATTTTGAAGCCAATTAGAAACCAAATCTTTTTAACCTAACTCGGCTTTGCCACAAGAGCACAGGGATTAAATAGGAATCTAATGGAGGGCTTTTGTTCATTACATTCAGCACTTAACTTGTTGGTTGTCATTCGTCGTTCAGTGAGAGACCGTGTGAGGACCAAGATGGAGAGAGATATCCTTGCCGATGTCAACCACCCATTTGTTGTCAAACTGCACTATGGTGAGTCGGCTTAAATATTTATTTCATTTCACCTCTTAAAATTGACATAATGCATATACTGCATAATGCATTACTCTTTTTCTCCATCCGTGTTTCCTTTTTGTCCGATTTAAAGTGAAACCTTGTATTTATTTGTAGCATTCCAGACTGAAGGGAAGCTGTACTTGATCCTGGACTTTCTTAGAGGAGGCGATCTCTTCACCAGACTCTCCAAAGAGGTGAGAGTCATACTTCGGATTTTTTTTGTTTTATGCAGATCCAAAATCTCCAGGCGTTTATCTTACTTTATGAAAATGTATGAAATCCTTTCTCCATCGTCTCAGTATTGTGGTTCAGTCTCATTTGTTCATTCCCCCCGTTTCTGAATCTGATGCCTCCCAGGTGATGTTCACAGAGGAGGACGTAAAGTTTTATCTAGCAGAGCTGGCGTTGGGGCTGGACCACCTCCACAGCCTGGGCATCATTTACAGGGACCTCAAACCTGAAAAGTAAGCGCAGACGAACATATTTAGACAATGCATTTTTGATGAACCATAGCTGTAGGATCGCAAACCATGGAGCGCCAGTCCTGTGCATGACAACATCATCACTGACAAAACAAAGTTCTATATAATATCCGGAGGATCATTCTTCTGACTTTAAAATAAAGTTTTCAATTAACACCTTAACCAAGTCTAGTTACCATTCCTCATCAAAGTGTTTTGTTCATGTCCCTTAGGCCATAAAAATATTATAATTGCCAAATTGCATCCATAAAACATTTTTCAAAGCGTTTTTTAATGGTGAACCCTGCATTGTATTCATCAGCTTGCGGTCCATCTCCATTTTAATATGCTGCTCCTACAAAGTACCTTTTTAAGTTGTCATGGATATCATCACTAGTAGTCTGTGATGTCTTAAGGATTGATTGCAGAGAGATTGATTATTCAACATTTTGTGTTTTCTCTTCAGCATTCTTCTGGACGAGGAGGGACACATCAAACTCACAGGTGATTCTCCTGCTCCTCCCTTTACACCCAGTCTCTCTTGTCACACTGCCACACACCTTCCTCTCCTTCCCCAGATTAATTATTACAATTTTTATCTCCTTTTACCTTCATCCACAATCTCTGCCTTTTATTTACTACGCCTTTAAATCAAAGGACGCCTCAGACAATCGAGGCGCCTAATACAGTAACTCTCACCGAGGGGAAAAGGCTGACAAAGTGTTCATTCAGTGATGTGCGGACTGTGTGGTGTGGTTTCCAGATTTTGGCTTGTGTAAAGAGGCCATTGATCATGAGAAGAAAGCGTATTCCTTCTGTGGTACTGTTGAGTATATGGCACCGGAGGTCGTCAACCGGCAGGGACACGACCACAGCGCCGACTGGTGGTCATTTGGAGTATTAATGGTGAGCAGGAACCTTTTGACTACATAAATCAGTGCTTGTATTGATCCGAGCCCTGACACGACAATGGTTTGTGCATTTATGTTCACGTGGGTCTAACGGTTCCATGTCTTTTGTCCCAGTTTGAGATGTTGACCGGATCGCTGCCATTTCAAGGGAAGGACCGCAAAGACACTATGGGCCTGATCCTGAAGTAAGTCTACTCAAGGCGGAAGAACAATGCAACGTAGAAGCCAGTAGCCGGACACTGCTGCTGTTAAAAACTGCCTTTTTATCTAAATAATTTGTGCTGCCTGCCCGCCGCCTGTCTCTCCCCGTAGGGCGCGTCTGGGAATGCCTCAGTTCCTGAGTGCAGAGGCCCAGTCTCTGCTCAGGGCTTTGTTCAAGAGGAACCCCACCAACAGACTGGGTTAGTATCATCTCATGAACGTTCAGTAATGGCAGCCTGTGTGCTCTGCCTGTGTTTCTTCATCTCGTCATTGCTTGAGATTTAGATGGGGTTTCTTTACAGGATCCTGTGCTGACGGTGCAGAGGAGATCAAGCGGCACGGTTTCTTCTCAACCATCGACTGGAATGTGAGTGACGGTCAAAGATGTAACAACATAGCCACAGTATAAAACACGCGTGTTGTTTTCATTTACATTATTAATCAATCTTAGTGTGAGGAGGTCCATTTTTATGGTGTGATTGACAAAAACATTTTTCACTTTTTTCAGAAACTCTTCAGAAGAGAATTAAAACCTCCATTCAAACCAGCGGTGGCCCGTCCGGACGACACCTTCTACTTCGACTCAGAGTTCACCTCCCGCACCCCAAAAGGTCAGGGATCAAATCTGAATGCAAGCTATTAACTATTGGCTCCAGTTCCATTTCTTCCCTGAAAGCTCTTCCTTGGGGAGTGGTTGTATTTTTCCTGTCTGTGCTTATAAACATCGATACAGGATGGAGACTCAATTATCGTTGTCTTCTAGACTCCCCTGGCGTGCCCCCCAGTGCCGGCGCTCACCAGCTCTTCAGAGGATTCAGCTTTATCGCCTCGACTCTGCTGGAAGAGGAAGATTCGGTGGAGTCTGTCAAGCCCCCGCCGCACCCTGTGGTCCAGGTCAGGACATGCAGGGACTTCACTGTGTTTTTCTTCATGTGAACTGACTAAAATGAGATCCGGTTCAAGTTTAAAAAGATCTATAGATTTGCTCAAATTTATTGCTTATGCACACGGCTGTAGAAACACCTTTACTTACTACGCTCTCCCTCCTCTGCAGCAATTACACGGGAAGAATCTGCTCTTCAGTGATGGCTACATTTTAAAGGAAGACATCGGCATGGGCTCCTTCTCCGTCTGTAAGCGATGCATCCACAAAGCCACCAACACTGAATACGCTGTCAAGGTACGAACAAACACACGCTGAGAAAAAGAACACCGGGAAAACACACAACAATCATGGCCTCATCTTCATATGTAGAACTGTAATCTGATTATTATATGGTGATGACAGATGATTGACAAGACCAGCACAGACCCCTCTGAGGAGATTGAGATTCTTCTTCGATACGGCCAGCACCCAAATATCATAACGCTGAAGGATGTGAGTACAAAAGCACTCGTATCACACTAAAAATTGCAGTGGCCTTTAGGTGTGTCAAGTGTCAGCGTGAGTGTTAAGAAAACGGCTTTCTTTTTCTCAGGTGTATGACAACGGTAAGCAGGTGTTCATGGTGACGGAGCTGATGCGTGGAGGAGAGCTGCTGGATCGGATCCTTAAACAGAAGTCCTTTTCGGAGAGGGAGGCCAGCGCTGTGCTTCACACCATCACCAAGACTGCGGAGTACCTGCACTCCCAGGGGGTGAGGACAACTGGAATTACTATAACGGTGTCTTCTCCGGACCAAACCGCTGCTCGGAAATCCCCTCTAACAACGTCCCTGTTAAAATCCGTAATATCACAACCCAATGAGCTTTATATAATACCTTATCAGTCTCCATCATCAGTTTCCTTTTGTTGTGCTTCAGTCGTCTGCATTTTATTTATTTCCCCCACCCCCCGTCCTGTTTGTATCCAGGTGGTGCACAGAGACCTGAAGCCCAGCAACATCCTCTATGTTGACGAGTCGGGGAATCCGGAGTCCATCAGGATCTGTGACTTTGGCTTCGCTAAGCAACTGCGTGCCAACAACGGCCTGCTGATGACGCCGTGCTACACTGCTAACTTTGTAGCTCCTGAGGTGAGCAGAGTCCCTTTTTTTAAAGTCTTGCGTCTTGAATGATGTGGAATCGAAGCCGTGTTAAAGAGTTAAATGTCATTGCAGGTGTTGAAGCGTCAGGGCTATGATGAAGGATGCGACATATGGAGTCTGGGAGTCTTGCTGTACACCATGCTGGCCGGGTGAATAGCGTCCCCTTTTCCTTGCACAGATTATTTATTTTTTTGGTTTTTGGTTTGTTATCTCACTGTTCTTCAAACTCACTACGTCAACTCTTTTCATTCCACCAGTTTTACCCCATTTGCCAACGGACCTGAGGACACCCCGAATGAGATCTTGAACAGGATAGGCAACGGCCACTTCAGTCTGACCGGAGTTAACTGGGACACTGTGTCTGACGCAGCCAAGGTAGAGCCACAAATCTCACTGACCGCTCCTTTTTAAATGCCATTCCCTCCCTGTGTCACAATTTCATGTTCTTATATGCACTCCCTTTAGGACCTTGTTTCCAAGATGTTACACGTGGACCCCCATCAGAGACTGACCGCTAAGCAGGTCCTCAAACATCCCTGGATTGTCCAAAGAGACAAGCTACCCAGCAGCCAGCTCCCACACCAGGACCCCAAACTGGTCAAGGTGACAGATCTTATGATGTCTTACAATGTGCTGCTGAAGGGCTTTCTGTTTTGTTATGCCCCCCAATTTGGACAGCTGGTGGTTTGGGCTCATATCACCATGCTACTGTTTGTGCACAGGGGGCGATGGCGGCCACCTACTCGGCCCTGAAGAACTCCCAGCCAACCCCGGAGCTCAAGTCCATCGACTGCTCCTTCCTAGCTCAGAGGCGCGTCAAGAAGCTTCCGTCCACCTCGCTGTAGAGACTCGACGACAACAACAACAACCAACGGGCTCACGGGAGACTGAACCAGACCAAGCGCGCTGTCGGCTTGCACGGGGATCCAAGTGTCCACCCGCCTCTACCAGCCAAGGAACACTGACTGTTGTCCTGCCCCCCCTTCTTGTGAAATCAGTTGTCCCGCTATGGCGATCATCTTCCTTTGGGCTCATCAGCTGCTGCAAACCATTCTCCGTAGACTAGCTAAAGATTGAGAAAATAAATTGAGGCTATGAGGGGGAAAAAAAGTGTGTGTGTGTGTGTGTGTGTGTGTGTGTGTGTGTGTGTGTGTGTGTGTGTGTGTGTGTGTGTGTGTGTGTGTGTGTGTGTGTGTGTGTGTGTGTGTGTGTGTGTGTGTGTGTGTGTGTGTGTGTCTTGCTGCAGAGTGGATGCAGCCACAATCTTTCAGTTTTCTCTCATTATTGCTGTGATTGGTCGTCATCCGGCTTGCTGCACGCCTGTCAGTCTGCCTGTTTTGTTGTCTGTCTGTCCGTTCTCTTTGCAAAGTTGATGAGCTTTATATTAGCGGCTGTGCTGCCAAATCAACCTGTGCCGACAGCACTAAACCACAGTACTGTCCAACTGCTGTTTGGAAAGAGCATTATTAAAATGAATATTAAACCTTTCTGCCACAAATGCCTCTTTGGCTTTGGTACAGCCAGGACATGTGGATTCTGGGAAATGTCAAATGCTGATGTTTTGTTTAATGTCAAATTATGTTTAACAGAAAGCGTGTGTGTGCGTGTGTGTGTGTCGCATGACTTGCAGTCAGTGTGTATGTCTGCTGTCTTGCAGGAGCCTGTAGGGTCATGTGCATGGTCCGGTGATGTGATGATGTCATGTGGCTTCCTCGTTTCTCTCTGCTCACTTTTTCTCTGCTTGGTCAACCTTGCTGGCATCTATTTGAATCGACTATTCTTTTTATTACAACAAAACTAGTAAAATAGGTGGCTTTCTGTGAAAGAGAAAACTTGCCTAAGGAATAATGTGGCATGTTAAAGTTCTATATTTGCTTATTTGTCTTGGTTTTTCTTCTTTTTTCCATCTGTGTTTCTTGGGTAATGCATATTGAATAATGTTTCCTGTGTTTGCTGCTTTTGTTGTTGATTGTTTTGTTGTTTTTCTTTTTGTCCAACGAAAGTGGTGATAAAATAATGAAAGACACGCTGAGCACATCATAGTCTGTGTACTTAAAGCCGTACCGGTCTCTCTTTCTGTTTTGGGACGTGAAAGACTTCCGTCTTTACTTGAGCACTCCAGCACAAACATTTCTTCTAACCCTTAAAAACGGTCAAATCACTGGTTGCTAATATCACACAGACCTTCAGCAGTCTTGTGTGTAATTCTTTCATGCATTCTATTGGAATTCTGTTGATTAGATAACATGTTTCATTTTATTGACCTTCAATTTGAGGCATCCTAAATGAGAGTAATTGTGTCTCTGTGCAAGTGACTTTTCATGATGGGTCCTGCTTTCCGCTCGGTGCCTGGGCTCACATTGTTACATACATTGTATGTTACATACATTGGAAAAACCAAAAGGCCTGAACTCGTGTCCATGGCGGTAAGACCTGTGTGGCTCAATGATCGGTGAACCAGCGGTCTATAGTTATGATTATTGTTTGGTGGCAAAAAACGATCCCTCCTTTTGACTAAATTTATGTTAAAATGTTATTGTATGATAAAGATGAAGATTTTTATATCTTACAACTATTAAAAATGCAGTTGCTACAACAAACCGTCTGGCTTGATCTGATATAGCTCTCACTCAAGTTATTCAGTTTTGCACTTTTCATAAAGTTAGGAAATCCACAGAACACCTAAATATTGTATTCCAGTAAGAGCGACTCAAGGTTTCAATTGGAACTGCGTCATTTAGATAATCATGATTATTGTTTTATGTATCACTTGTCCCATATCTCGAAAAAAAAGAACTGACCTACAGTTTAGTTAATGAAATGGGATGTCAGAGTTTCTGAAACCACTTGTAACCACTTACCTGCTGATCAACTGCAGTTTGATTTTTAAATTAGACTTGCCGTTGTTCTCTTATTTGCCAAGTCGTATTTTTTCATTAGATGTTAGCATTTGTTTTTACGCTTGACCGAATGTGTTCTCTTCTATATCACAAATTTAAAAGTCCATCTCTTAAAGAAGATAATGACATGTTGGATACTAAACCGCTGTAAAATAACAACAATGATAATGTCACATTTAATGTGGATTCTCAATCCTTTTTGAGAGGGTTACCAAACATGAAAGATACAGGACACGCTCAGCAGAGCTTAAGTTGCTACCCAAACTGACACAGCAGAGGACCTCTAAAAGAGAATTGAGCAGCCGTACAACAACAAGGAGAAGAACAGGTATGTGCCCAGTCAGATTATCATCGCTTGCATAAAATGTGCCAAAGTGGATTGTGTCACTTCTTGCAGCTTTTCCACATCACTAACAAACTTGACCTATTGTCCTTTACAATCGTCCCATTAATCTGATTTGGGTTTATTGGTCACATGTATAAATTGATCGATGGAAGCTGTTAGTCAGAGTGAGGGCCTAAGGCCTTTGCCTGGTATCTTTTCTTGGACAGAGGGAAAGACGTTGGAACAGCGTGTGAAGGGTCTGCAGTGACATTTCCTGCCGGTTTACGGACTCTGGACCAATGTGCCAACCTGCCCGTCCTTGAGCTCACTTTCAATTCATGAAAAATACCCCAGGCGAGCCGTGCGTTAAAGGGGAGACCCGGGGTATTTGATCAGTAGTAGTTCTGTGCTGGTTGAGTTATATCCACAAAATGGATCAACTTGCAACTTCCATTCCTCCTTATGCCTCATTGAGGACACGCAGCAGGGGGTATTTCCACAGCTGGTCACTGGAGGGAGATAAAGTTCATGCTTTATTCAAATGCTGAAAATAAAATGTGGCTACCAAGTTAAATGCTTTTCTGATTATGACTGTTAAAGCAGAGTCTTTTACTCTCTAACTATTGGTTTTACTCGTGCGGTAATATACTCATTCCAAATGCTTAAAATTCCGCTTGAAATGGTAGTTTAACATGACTGATGCACAATTTGTCATGTTGGATGGAAATTGATTTATGTTTGTACAAGCACAACGGAGACCGCTTACAGGCTCTGTATGTTAATGACTCATAGCCTCGCCATCTGCCTCTTGCCTGTAACCTTTTGGCTGTAATTGTTTTCTTTATCCTCCTCCTGCTATCTCTTTCCCACAGCATGCAAACAGTAGCACAATGAACCATTGCACCAAATTCCGCTTTACAGTACCAACTAACAGTGGTTGTGTACGACTGATAATACATGTGATGAAGATAAACTGTACACATCTTTAGTCTTACATTGTCTATATAGTCACACATTCATAGGTTCTGCACTCTGACGTCACGTACTACCAGGAATGCACGTGCAATGACCGGCTTCCTGCCCTTTTGCACACACTCGTACGCACTTATATCACTGACTCAGCCTGCGGCAGCACAAGGCACCTGCAGTTGATTAGAGAACAGCAGCAACCTGGCATCGTCGCCATTAACGGCTTTCTGCTCTAAATAGAAGCGCTGCAGATTTATTCTTGGGTCTGTCCAGTTTGCAGCAGATTTTTGGTGATGCATCTCTGCTGAATTGGGGCAGACTTCTGTTGGGTTTTTGTTGGTGAAAGATACCAAGGGATCCCGATCTTCGTCTGATATGATCTTAAAAAGGACACCTTCCTGGGCTGAATTTTTTAATGCAACGTTGTTTGAGTTTTTCTCTGATTGTTCTGAGTTCTCTGGCCGATGCTGCTGTGTTTCCGTTAAATTACATGTATACACAAAAATGATTGAAACTTGTTTTTGCTCCTCCTCTATCCAAAGTAATGTATTTTTATGGTAACACAATGCTTACCCTTGATTCATTCTAACCCTGCACTACAACACAATTGTACTGCGCACACGCACACACAACTCTGATGCTTATGACATAAGTGAAGGAAAACCTGACACTTGATGAACTACACACACTGAAGGCACACAGATGGCATCACTCCTCCACGTGTACGTCTAATACACACATACCGCACAGATTAAAGTAATCTGGAACAGTTTGGGGTAGGAGAGATTAACAGCAGGCTTTCAGCTCATTTTTAGCTCTAAAGGGAGAGGAATAGATGTAAATGGAGTTGGAGATAATTGTATTTTGGAAGGATAAAGCCTTTTATTAATTCTGCTGTGTGTGTGTGTGTGTGTGTGTGTGTGTGTGTGTGTGTGCGTCCCCACACTTACAGCTTTTGAATGTTGGAAAATGTTTACCACTTTACCATCACAAAAGGTTTATTTGTTTAGCGTCTTTGCTGCTCCACGTGTTTGCCAATGCCGATGGAACTCTGTGTTGCTCTGCAGGCACCAAGTGGGATTAGTTAACAGCGAGTGGTTCTAACCGCGGGATGTTGCGCAACCACTAGAATCTTCCAGAAATGGGCATTGTGCTCCACTAAAGCATCTCGTCTTCATCCCCAAATTCCCAAGAGGCATGCACAACTTTAGAAATCTAAGGGAAACCTTTCAATCCAGTGGATACTACTGGTGGTAATACCCATAACATGATGCTCAACATCCTCATGGGTCTTAAACGTCATTAAATACGTTGCGTTATATTTATCCTTTGAAAGCAAAGGTCTCTTTTCTGGTGTTTGTCTTGCTTTTGCTTCTTTGTCCATTTTTATTTCGTTGTATTTCTCTTCCTTGCGCTTCCGTTTGTCTGAGGATCAGTCTAGCTCCAAGAGGAGGGAGAGCTGTTGGTGCTGCCGCTAATGCGATGTCAATCCTCCGATAAAAGCAAAGGGGTAAGTGGACGCTGAAATATGCGTGTGCTTGAGTGCAGAGAACGAGCTCTGACCCTTCTAAAAGCACCACTGTTTGGATTCACACTTGCTAAAAGCAGTTATTTAAAACATCACTTGTTAGTTTACCAGCGTTATCCTTGTGTGTTTGTGTGTGTGTGTGTGTGTGTGTGTGTGTGTGTGTGTGTGAGAACCTATATCTCTGTCTCACACTCTTATCATGTTACTTCTGCAATGCCGCCACAACACCAATACTTGTCTCGACGGGCTGCTAATGGAGTGGAAAGTATTATAGTGAGGAGAGAGAAGGATGATGGAAGAACCAAGGCATTACATCATGGTGACATGAGATCAGATCATAATGGATGTGACCATTCAGGTATGAAACATGAGCTCAGGTTTGTTTTTTTCATGTTGCTGCATGGGATTGAACAACCAAAGGCAGATGTACTTGTTCACCTTCAATTGGCTACAGAAGGAGTAGCAGGATTCAGGATTGCACGCTTTTAATTTTGGTAAAATGCCTTTTGAAAAAGGTGCATTGTGAGATCACTACTCTGTGAGAGTAGAGATCCACCTTTCACTTCACATGTAATGTGTTGTGCCAGAGTCAACCCCCAGATATTCTGCAAATAGTTTCCTAGCAACAGTGAGTCTTTATTGCATACCGTTTGAGTACAAAGGTAAATGACAAGTTGCCAGTGCACAGTTACACTTGTAGGTTCTTGGACATGTATTTGTTTTTTTTGTGAACCAGTGTTACTTATATGGGAAAAATATAGCTTGCAGGAACAGCTGAGCTGCCAAATGGGTCAAAAGGGGGCGGGAATGTGCTCGAGAGTGAGTACCGGGAAAATGTGGTAACGCTGAGCACCAAGGTGATAGAGGGGAGGGAGAAATGTGAGCGTCATCTCTCCCTCCGGCTTTTACCACCGTGTTGCTAAGGGCAACCATCCGAGCGAGAGCAGGGGAGAAAGAGGGATATGAAGAGAGCGCATGACAGAGCGAGCCGAACGGCATCAGCAAAGCGGAGCGGAACCTGCGTGTCTTGACTCATTCTGCCTCGCTCGATCAAAGCACAGCTCCAGAAGAAGACGACGACGACGACGACAGCCTGCCAGCATCAGCATCAGCAGCTCGCAGGCCGGGCCACCCAATCATCAGCTGACGTGCTCCTGAGTTCAGCAACCAATGAGCTGCCTGCAGGCTCCTCCCCAGCACAACCACTCTGATGCAGAGGCAGCAATAGCCCGGCTCAGGTCACTTAATAATGAATGGAGCAGTACGTAGGCTGGATCACTGCACATCCCTGCTCTGTCTGCTCGGCTGAGCTCCACTGTGGCACACGAGGACAGGAGGAGAGGGGGCGGGGGGGACATAGCAACCACAAGGACAGCAGCAGCAGCAGCAGCAGCACCAGAAGAGATAAACAATTGCCATGAAGGGACAACAAAGACACACGGACCGCCATGGCGAGGACCAAGCTGCAGCCACTAAAAACAAGGACCCCCATCCTGATATCCACCCACCGGATTCACCTTTTCCCTCGTCATCTTCTCCCCTTCCTCCTCAGTCAGCCATGGCGCCTTCCACGTCGGCCTCCGCTCTCCTGGGGCCGGCTTCACCGGCCACCAGGCGATCCATTTCTATGGGAGACTTCCGCAGGGTGACGGGGGCTCCTCTCACCGGCTCCGAGCCGCCGTCCACCGCCGCCACGGCCCCCTCCTCCAAGCTCGTGACCCCCAGCTCGAGCATGGAGTTCGCGGCGGCACGACGACGGCTCCTGGAGGTCGAGGAGCGTCAGCGGGTCGTCCGAGAGATGGAGCGGCGGCTGGAGGAGCTCAGGGAGGTGTTTGTGCGCTCGGAGCAGGAGGTGGTGGTTCACGGGGAGGTGGTGTCGCGGATATCCGGCGCGGCGCAGCAGGGGGAGGTGTACGCGGTGGAGAACGGCCAACGGCTGAAGAAAGGCTTGAGGTTCAAGAAACACCGGCCCACCATCGTGTTCTCCTCCATGCTGGGACTGCGCACGTGCCTCCCCTGGCCCGTGAAGCTCAAATAGGACGACGTTGTCCCACCATCGCTTCCGAAATGCGCTTCACATCAACGGGAGGACAGACCGCCGAACTTCAGCTATCACTCATTGACAGGGCTGTTCTTTAGTCTCCATCACTCTGCATCCTGTATCCTGAGGCTGGTCCTCCGGGTCTTAGAGTGCCTGCAATTATCACAAATGCTAGTAAGGAGCTTTTTGTTTAGTTTACTTTCACAGATACTTTGTTGATAGTGTTAGATTTTCACAGGGAGAGATTGTGTATCAATATAGATGCTTTTGTTTCAGGGGATGTAAGGGGAGAGGTTGCATTCGGCCAGTGAGGCAAACAGCTTGGTTTTTATGTGCGATTAACTTACGCAGCAATCAGGATTGTAATTATGTAATGTGAGTGAGGTTAAAAAGGCAAAGCGATCAGGTGGAATAAAAATACTAAACCATCTGTCTCTCCTTCATGAGAATTGAAGGGCAGGGAAAGGGAATCTGAGGTGGAGCTGTGGAGCTAAGCACGCATTGTATGGTTTTGGAAAGGGAGAGAAGTCTGGAATAGAGAAAGAAGATGTGTAATTAAAATGGCTAAAGCTTGCACAGAAAACGTGCTTTGGTTTCTCTGTGACCGCTCCTCCGCTACCATGAGCCTTGTTTTCAGCAGCGTAATCTGCAAAACCCGAGAGAGCTGGTAAACAAGTTCAAACTGGGACGATTCCACCTGTGGCCTCTTTTTATCCAGTCACCTAGCAACCACTCATCTCTGTTTTAAATCGGATCCCACCAACCGACAGCATGTATCCAGCCGAGCGCTGTAACTACAACAATACCAGACAGCCGTAGAGGTCCTATCAAGGGTTCAGGGACTAATAATTCTGCTGCATTTATTTGGGATACATTTAGAACTGGCTTTATAGTCAGATATTCTTGACAAAAGCGGTTGTTCAACCTGTTCATTATTTTGATAAGGGGCTGCACTGGAAATTGAGCCATGTATGCAGGAGCAAGGGAAGTTATGACAGGCCATCACGGTCTGTTATGAATGAAGAGTGGCACTTTTGTCTAGTGCAGAACAACGCTGATGATATTATCAGTTGTTTTTTTTATTTCTTTGTGGTTTAGGGAAGATTTGGGAGATCAAGCTGTTCTGTTGCTTCACATACACAGTAGTGTCGTTGCTCCATATGCACAGAGTGACCCGATTTATTCTTATAGATCATTTCGAAAAAAAATTCTTCTCGTCTCTTATTTCTCTTCTTTTGGGATTAGCAATGACTGTCTTTTTGTCTTCAACTGTACAGATGTGTGTAGAAAGAACCGCCAATATAACAGGAATATCTATCTTTGGCATTCAATGATTATGGCAGAGAGGCATTCAATCTGGATGCAGCATTAGTTGGGAGAAATCCCATCAATCCACGTGAGTGCATGTTAGTAATCATCTATGTGAGCTAATTTGAATTAACAGGGATTTTTACCATTGTAGAAGCCTCAGTGAAGCTTGGCTTGCTCATAAATAATCTCACTGACGAAAAAAAGCGAGGCTATTGACGCATAGTAGAATTATAGCTTAGAGAAGCATAAAGTAACTCTTATATTGAAACTGTAATGTGATTCACACGATTCACATGTTACTGCATCATTTGGGATGCATTAGAGAATGGGCACTGTGATATGAGTTGATTTTCTCGGATGTATCCACAGCACTAATGTGGGTACTTTGTCTGGATCCGACATTTAAAATGTCCCATGGGTCCCCCAACAACAGCGAAGCGCAGTACTAATTTGCCGGGGTAGACTACCGCTTCAAGCAAAGGAAATGTCACAGAATCGTTGTGTCAATGTTAACTTTATCAGCGTTCATATTCCTAATAGCCACGATGACCTTGTCATTGAATGTTATTCCATATAGCCACGGGAAGTGCTGTTTTCTTTGAGCACATCGATACCAAACTCAATTCAGTCAAGGCAGTTGCTGGCAGAATGCCTAAAAGGGTCTCGTAGGCCTCAGACGGGTATTGATGGTCCATGTATATAGCTAGAGTTACAACTGAATATACAGCTGGCCTATATATTTCTTTTCGTATGCCTTATCCAGTGTTGGTGCACGGCAGTGATGATTTGGTGATGTACTGACTACGAAGGAAGGGCTAAACAGCTGAACTCACGACCATCATAGGTCATAATCATATGGAGGAAAAGTGTGACTGCAGCTTTTTGTGTTTTTCTACAAATGAAAAAGGCAGTTTCCCAAAGATCTTGGAGGCCACTAGCAGATTGAATGTAACTATTATTTAATATCCATTTATTTATAACACAGATGTAAGCATACATCCAATGTTTGAACCTGTGGCTGGCAAATAATCCTCTTTTATTCGTGTATGGGGCCTTGTATTGATATAAAAAGTCCTTTTAACCATCAAGCCCAAACAAACAACTGTTGGAGAACTAAAAACTACGGCAATCCAGACACACAGCAACCACAGCCCTTTAATGGCACTCAAGCTTGCCAAACACAGGTCCAAAAACGGTTTTATTATTCCTTTAGACTCTTTTATTATTTTGTTTGTTAATGTCTCATGTAGGATATATTATTTATTTATGTTGTGCAGAAAATGTTCCTCAAATTAGATGTTTTATACCTTAATTAACACTCTGCTGATATTTTTGTTGATTGTGAATTGTCTATTCTATTTCATGAATGTTGGGTCAAATTTAATTTTGTGTGCAACTGTTAAATAACATTAAGTCAATTTGGTTTGCCACAGCTTTTTGCCAAGCATAACGCCTTAATTTCCAACGTTTGTGAGGGATTTTTTTTTAGAAATGGACTCAAATGAAAGAAAATCCACTGCATTGCAAGTTAGTCATCCACACATCGTGTGCGTTCTAACACTGCTTCTGTAAATGCTTTTCTTTCTGCTGCACCGGCTAAGAATGAATGTTCTTCTATATTTGATGCTAATTCAGTTTCTTGACACTAAAATGTATTTCACCGCAGAGCTACAATGTCTAGCAGATACTAGCAAATATCAAACGATACACTTCATTTAGAATATTATCAGGTTTCATAAGATACATGCTGAATCATTCAAATAAATTACAGTGACTCAAGCTTCTTTGTTTTCATGTCTTTTACTGAAGAGAAAATCCTAACTAGGCTGGAGTCTTGGGATTTTTCAAGGAACTGCAAACTGAAATATATTAAATGACATCCCTGCTACAGGAGTGGGATTTATTAGGGTCATCTTGCTGCAACCCTGCTCAGTCTGATCAGTACTAAACTACTCATTGTTGTAAATAGCTGTGAAAATACCCAAAAAATAAAAGTCATGCACATAGGCTACGTTAAAGTAACGTGCTTGCCCATCGATGGCTCTTCTCAGCTGACTATTTGGTAACATGGAGGTTGAATAAGCCTGTTCAGATGGAAAAACGCAGAATTACTGGAAATACATCTCACTTCCAAGTATCCATTAATGCAAGCCAGGATTTGTGAATACACATTAAGCCGATGTTTTTTTTTTTTGTTGTTTTTGCTCACTTAATGAAAGCCATTACTAAAGTAGATGGGTTTCAGATCTGAATATCTAGGTTATTAGAAAACTAGAACATCCTCTATAATGTTAACGTCTTAAACAGATTACAGACCATGATGCATAAAAATAGTCAAAGTTCATTTTTCCATGAAAAGTCCAAGTAACGTACTATGCTGTGACATTTATATTGTATAATATACTATAAATAAAACCATAGATAAAAATAAAACCATAGATAAAAATAGAAATAACTACATTTAGGACTAAATGTGTAGGGAATGTTTAGTTCTGTTTCAAGCATTTGAAGCCCTCCAAAAACATCTTAATTTGTCGCCACAGCAACAACCTTTCACAAAACGACTAACCTTTGGTCAGTACAATCTAGAGGCCTTAGTGATGAAAAGTGATCAAAGTTGGGGGTGATCCGATTACCTCGTTACGAGGAGTTAAAGCACAGGAATACAAATGGGCCGACTGGCTGTTTAGTGCATAATTCGAAATTATTATGTTATTAATTCTACCTAGTAAACATGGGCCTACGTCATTTGTATATCTGGGTTAATCATGGGAACGTGAGAGCTGCTTTGTCAAGATTTAGTAGGGGGCGCTATTGAGCCAAACTAAACAAAATTCATCTGTGAGGAGGATGTGAAAGATGCACATTCAATTCTAAATGGTCATATTAACGTCTGATCCCGAGGTTATGACATTGCTATGACATTTTGAGATAATACAGGCAACTTACAATAACCTGTTTTATGGCGAATGTTTTTTTCCCCGCCATGTATATTTTCCCCACTGGTCTCAAGATCATAACGACTGAATATAAAGACAATCAGATTCAATCTCTAGGAGTTCGCAAAAGTACAATGCAGCAAAAATACGTCATAAAACACAATATGGCGACTTCGTGTTGGGTTTAGGGCTTTCCTGCAAGAGGATCACGTTACATATACATACCAAATTAGTTTGTAAGTCTTGGTTTCATATGGGTGTGTGCGTGCATGAATAAGCATAACATCAGATCCTGATGAGCACCTAGTAGGGTTCCCTCTTCCATCAGAGTATTAATGGGAATGTGTACGTGGGGTAAATGTACTGTACTTGTATAGCGCTTTACTAGTCTTCCGACCACTCAAAGCGCTTTGACACTACATGACATCATTCATACACTGAGGACAGGAGCTACCATACACAGAGCCGCCTGCCCATCAATAACTAACATTCACGCACTGTAGTCGCAGCGACAGCCGCAATGTTGGGTTAAGTGTTTTCGACATGCGGGTCAGCCCTCTGATTGGAGGACGACCGTGCGCCCCACTCACCCACAGTCGCCGGTGTCAGGAGACTACATAGGATCTGTATAAACTCAAGCACATTTATAATCCATTTGTAATCATGTTCATAAATTAGTTTGAGTCTATGGATTTTCTATCAAAGACTAGTACACAAGTTGTATGCACATTTATAGGAAGTAAATTGAAGTGTTCCCTCATTCACTAATCATTTAAGCAATGTGTTGTGTTGAGGATGAAGGTTTGTAGTTGTGCTTACGCTTATAGCCGGCCACAATAAATTAGGAAAATATCACCTCACACTATAGGACTGTTTGGCACTTTATTAAACATGTATATCTATTTACAAATAAGACCTACAATTAATTGATTTACCATTGTTCACAGTTAAATGGACTTAAATGGAGTTTGCGTAATACATCAACACTATAACAAAGCTATGGAAGCGTCAGGTGGCATCTGGCGCTGAAGTTGCAGAACCAGCTGTAATATCTCCTGTGTGCCGGGTGGTCAATGCAAAAACACACAGGGATAAGTCTAAGGCAACATAAACATGATTGTAATTAGCAGGTGATGAACTATGATAAACTTCCAACTATGCTTTAAATGCTACACACTTTAACTTTACTTCCAGTAATGATTCAACACAAGTGAACACATGCTTCCTGTCTGCATTTACTCAATGTCAGTTTTTGTTTTTTAGTTTCCTACAACGGAATCCTCTCTAAATACTGTGGATGCAACTGGGTCTTTTTTTTCTCTCAAACACCCATTTAGACAAGTAACGAAACAGAACAGAGGACATGTAATTACCAACCGAGACCAAGATGATCAGAAAAAAACCCACTGTAGTAATACAATCCTTTATAACGCATGACAGACAAGAGATATATACTATACAGCAGTGGGCATTTATATACATGTTTATACAACAAAAATGATGTGTAATAGCATAATGTAATGTAAAAAAAAAGGGCAACCTTTTCCCAGCCCTCCATTCTTCCTTAAAGGATCCTAAATTTTGTAAGTTTCTCTACTGTGTAATGGAAATGCGAGTGTGCTTGTATACCTTAAGTACTGTCCATGTGTGTGTGTGTCTGAAAGAACTACTGTGGCTAACAAGCTAACTTTAGGTGCCTTTTCTGCAGTGAGTCTTTTGTTTCTCTCCAACACGCGGTCTGTATTTCAGGTTCCCCCGAGACAGAAGCCTACAGTCAGAAGAAACCGGACCTCTCACCCCCCAGTTGGCAGTGAGCTGTGCCCAGAGTCAAGATGGCTGGGGCAAAGTATTCAGATCTCTGCACAGGCGGCGCCCGTGTCAGAGACAGACTGGCAGGCACAGATCCAAGTCTCAGTATACTACGACTCAACAGGCAGCTCTCTGAGTATTTACATTAACCAGGCTGCCAACACGCCAGAAGATTTATCCTCAGCGAGTTTAAAGCGCCTTCGATGGTTTGGACCTGCCGGTAAATTTTGCATCAGGTGAAAAATCCCAGATTAATACAGACAATTTATAACAGCTTCAATGTAATGTATAATTAATAGTTAAATGCACACAGTAGAACAGTTTTTAGAGAAACCACCAATAACGTTGTACCTGTTAATAGTGAATGGTGGTGTTAAGACAACTGCAGGTAAGGGGGGGTGGGGGTTGCATTGTCCTTCGAATGAGAGGTTTTATGGGGCTCTGGAAGTTTCCAGAATGAGTTGAAAATTCCTTAAACAGTTCCACTTATCCCGAGGTGTCTTGTGTCTAGTATATCCTCGCGTAAATAAACAAAACTTCCTCGCGTTGCTCCGAAGGAGATTAACGCCGTCCTGTAAGTCTACGGCGTGACTTGCAGTAAGCATCCCATGCTGGTTCAGTTCCTCTGTTGTGTATGAACAGTAGCGTCTTATTTCCCTGTCGCTTCAGTCTGTTAGTTTGTGGACATAGTTGACAGGAAACGTCCCACACCTGGATGGGTCCCCCTCTATGTGACCGCTCTGTTAGGAGAGAGACAAAAAGAGCACTTTATTAATACCGAAGGTTCGAGCGGAAAACAAAGATAATGGGCACAAGAACTTAAGACAGTACTCATCCACAATGTGCAACGCTAAGGATTAAACATTAAACTGCCCAACACATTAATACACTCTAGTGGAAGTGCAGTCGAGGATGATGTGACATCGAATGAGCAATCAAATACTCATGAAGTGATCACATAGGTATATGTTGCATGGACTAATCCTTCCTGTTTAATCTACAAGTCTCCAAAGAAAAAAAGTCAAACTGTTGTCATTGTACTTACCCACCAGAAGGCGTCAGTAGTGGTTGTGACCACAATGATCTCATCTTTGAAAAAGGCGAGCTGCTCAGAACTTACTGCTCTGCAGTCCACCAAAGCCTTGACACGCTTCAGATGTGGCCTGCTGCCAGAGGCCTGAAGGAGACACGTTATATATTTGTATTGACTGTGAAATCTCCCGGGCTCTTTTCCAATAATCCACAGGGATACAACGCTTGGTGAAGTTGAAGATTGTGACACGAAAGAACTTGACCGACAGGCCGAATGCAATGGAAGGAGACGATGGGTTTTTACCATAGCATTCCTGCGGGGTCGTGAGATACAGGTCACTGCAGGTGAGGACGGGGGTGCTGGGACAGCAGCAGCTGGGGTGAGGCCTGGACTGTTCCCCACCAGGCTGCAGTACAGCTCCTCTTGGCTGCTCATACAGCTCGGAGACAACACACCACATTTCCCCTGTGCGCCTGCGCCGCTGCTGCTCCGACGATATGACGTCGTCTTCCCTGAACTGGAAAGGCAGAGAAGTCACGAAAATATGAGGGATCGAGCGAGGCCTCCGTCTTATCCAGGGGCTTGTTTAGCAGCGCGGTCTCACCTGACCGGCCCTATGCAGCTCTGAGTGGACGTTGGCGGGACACCAGCTTGGCCATCCCAAGTCTGCCTCTGTGCCTTGGGCAGAGTCGCCTGGCCGAGCGGGGACCTGGGTGGTCTCAACCTTTGGTTTTCTGTGTTGGGCGAAGGGGGCCCGTGTCTCGCCTGCGTCGGAGGACTGGAGGAGTGGGAGGCCGGGATGGAGCAACTTCGTGGCAGGGGTTTGCCTTCCTGTGTTGTGATTGAAATCTGGGGGTCCGAGCAACCTGCACATGGACAAGGCACTGTGAAATATTTGAAGGAGCGCGACCACGTTGTATTTTATTTGAATTGTACATGTCATATATATACACACACACTGCAGTAGTTTACCTCTCTGAATGGATTTAGCTGGCAGTGGTGGAGCCAATGACGTCCCAGAGGGAGCGCTGTTGGCGGGAGGATTTTTGTATAGAAAGTCTAGATTCTCGTACGTTTGACAAGGCCTACTCCCAGCAGTACCACTGGCACCATTAAGCACGCTATAGCGGGAAAAGGAAGTTCCACCCCCTCCATTTGAGGATGGAGGAGAGCGGTTTTTGGGCAACGGGCTCACCTGGGAAAAAAAGTGGAAAGGAGCACAAGGTCAATTTTCTTTTGTTTAATTTATGTGTATTGGCTTAATTTCCGTTAGTATAGAAAAATTGTAGCGGTAAACCCATCTAACGTTCTTCCCAAATACACTATAAAAGGCATTTTTGACAGTGGGTGAGTGTGTGTGTTTTTACCCGCTCATCGAGGTCATCCTCGCTGTCGTAAAACTCCTGAGACTGCGTCTCCCACATGAACTCCACGTGAATCTGGGAGTTAAACTTCCCACTATGGGCCAACTCCAACTGAAATACAAACACAAGCACAAACCCTTTAAAAACAAGTGTGACGCACTTCCTTCTGCAATCTGGGAAAAAACTATGAACAGGAAACTAGTGACTGCCAACGATTGCAACGGTGTGACCTCAACAGATGTTAGTTAAATGATATGCAAAGTGCGTTAAATGATATGATAAAAACAAGTTCAGCAGCATTTGTGTGATCTCTAAACAACTAGCTTGTATAAACAAAGGTTGTGTATTATGTATTATCGGTTTCAGTAGGGCTGATGGCCGGTAAGAAATTAGTAATACTTTATGAATGACACACACTGCGACCTGATGGGGATACGACTCCGTGTGCTGGCAGCGGGTCCTTCGCATAGCTCTGTTGCACGGGGAGTTATTTCAAGGTAGTGTTTCCAGCCGTGGAAGTCTTCTCTTGTTTTGTTTCTAGCATTTGGCTTTCTGATAAGACATTTTAATGTGGCGATTCAATTCCTCAGTTTACCTCGTCTACCTCCTTACTGTGGATGTTCTCAGATTTAAAAGGAATAAATCTTAAAGCCGAATTAAAGTACGCGGTGAGAGTGGAGTCTCACCAGCTCGACACACTGCGTGCGCTGCAGCCTGCGCGCAACATCGAGGGCCGTTTCTCCTGCAGAGTTCACTACAGTGGATGGAAAGAAAAAGGAAAAGGGTTGAAGTATTCATTTCATTTTCATACAAGTCGAAGGAAAATGACAGCACGTTACCTGTGTGTAGGGCTGCCTTCGCTTTGAGCAGTAACTTGAGAGACTCGGGCTTGTGATGCAGGACGCTGTAGTGAAGAGCGGTGTTTCCTTCTGCCGTTCTCTTCTCTAGACAGTTGCTGTGGAGTGACGGATATGACACATATATATAGGACACATTAGTCTTGTCTCAACACCGAGGAAATTGCACTTTTTTGTTTCTTGTTCTTCTGAGTTTGTACCTTATGGTTGAATGCACTTATTGTAAGTCGCTTTGGATAAAAGCGTCAGCTAAATGACATGTAATGTAATGTAATGTGTCACTAATGTACAATACGGAGAGAAAGCGTTTAATCCTCTACATGCAGAGGAAATACAAATCATTCCCCGGACTACTCGTGAGTGTCTGACCTGTTCTGGCAGAGGAAATCCACAAGTGCCAGAGAGCTTCTCTCCTCCAGACGCACCGCAAGATGAAGAGCCGTCTCTTTGACCCCCTTAGACGGGAAGAAAAGAGCTCGAATGAGGCAAAGTTGTTGGCCCCTTAAAAAAAAAGGTTAAATTGAAGTGGTGCATCCAGTGGCTGCTTCTGGTTTCTGACCATCAAGTGTAAGTAAATGCAACTACAACGCCAGACGAGCCAGAATCTGAGTGAGCGTGAAACAAACTAATTTGCGTTTGTGAAAACATACCTGGAGCGTTGAGCATTAACTGTTTATGTGTGTGAAGTGCAAAAGGACGAGAAGGGCCTGCGTAACTCAATGAGCTCGTCTCGCTTTGCCTCAAGAGACGCGAGCTCTGACCTGAAAGCTGAAATAATAAACGAGGGCCCAGCGAAAAACCAACAAACACACACATAGGCGCACAGTGGATTCAGCCCCGGCTGCAAACCGCTCAAGCTGAGCAGGAAGTGTGCGACGGGCCGGGTGGAACGTGATTAAAGACAAGAGGAGTAGAGGAGGGACGGCAGAAGGCCGGGGAAACCAGACCAGTGGATGAGATGAGAGGGGAAGATTGACTATCCGCACACCACCTACATTCTGTATTTGATTCTATTTTAGGCCATTTCCGTCCTGAAATGCCCTGAACGCGTAAGGAGCCACCGCAAACAAGCCCGGAGGGCGGCCTCCCCCCTCGGGAGGGATAAATGACAACAATGTTTCAGGAGATTTACCACACAGCCCAACAGGAGACCCCTGGGGAAGAAATGCTGGTGCGGAATCCCACTGGCGGCCGTAAATGATCCTCACCTGTCCATCGGGCGTCGCGAGCGGTTTGGAAATGTCCGCTCCTTCGGCGTAGAGCTGCAGGAGGGAGGCGAGTTCGTGACTCCTCACGGCGTCATACAGCCGGCCGGGGTCGGCTTCCTCTCTACGCAGGACATAGCGCCGCTCGGCGTACTTAGCCACGATGTACTCTTTTCTGGCATTCCTAGATTGACACATTTTTATGAAATAATGCAATCGTCTTTCATGCATTTTGACACATTTAGACTGTTATCTCAACGGAAAGCATAGACTCACATGTCACTGTGTGGTAGTGGCTTGACAGAGTCATTTGGAAGGCCCGCCTCCATGATGTCATTGAATCTGGTGTTGCCAATACTGACAGCCAACTAAAAGTGACAAACAATTCAGACGCAGAGGTGTGATATTAGCCAGCATTTCAATTAAAAACCAGATAATGCTAAACTGACTGTGTCTGCTTTTGTGTGAATGGTTTGTTTCCATGAATCTTTTTAGTACCAGGAGCTCAGAGGTGCTCAGCAGGTCCAGGGTGAGTGACTGGATCCTGGAGTAATGGACACCCAGCTCTCTGTGGATGCCAGAGCACTCGATGCAGGTCAGGATCCCCAAATTGGTCGACAGCCACGTTGGATCTGAGTTACACAGACACAAAGAAGTCAAGAGCCCGTGAAACCCATCATCACCACCGCCAAAAACGCAGCTGGAATTGATGTAGTCTGTGAATACGGCCATGCTGATGACATAGACTAAAGTGGTTCATTATTTGGTTGCACAACGATCTTCGACAACAATGACCGGCCGACCTGGTGCTCCACAATCAGTGCAGGCCTCGTTGCCGGGCATTTGTCGGAGCTCGGCGATGATGCTCCTGGAGAGCTCCTGGAGCCCGCTGTCCTGGAGGTGGAGCTGGTCGCCTACCAATGCCGTGTTCAGGGCCTCCTCCTTACTGTTCTGCAGCACTGACACCCAGCTGGAGTAAAGGGGGCACGGACATACAGAAATCAACGAGTTATAAAGGGATGTTGTTGTTTTTTAAAAGATTTTGAAACACTCACTCGGAAGAAAAGCCGCAGAGCTTTTAGTCTCCAAGTGAAACCAAAAGATTGATGATTTTAGACGATTCCCCAGACGATCAAAAAGAGCCAAACCATGTGCTTTTGCTTCGCTGTCTAGTGACAAGTCATCATCGCTCTCACTTCCTCAGTGTTCTCAGGGTTCTCTGGCACTCTGTATCTCCCGACCCTCGTGGAGCTCCAGTTCTTTATTTCCCTTCAAACCATTGAGTCCATTAACCCACACAGCACATCAAACGATCTGCCCGGACGCCCACGTGCAAGGGAAGAGTAGGACAGAATACCCCCCCCCAACATGCACTCCCCTCAATCCCCACATCAGAAAACACCAAGTTCCCTTGCTTGCCGTCTCTGGAAAGAGAAGTCCCACCCAAACCCAGCTGGGCCGAGGGGCCTCCTAGAGGACAGCACTTTCAGCTTTCAGTTTCTCTTCTTTGCTGCGTACAACAGTCAGACTAAATACTTTCCTGTATTATCATCTGCAGTAAATTTCTGTGCCTTCTCATCACATACTTCTTTCAAATGGAGACGAGAGGAGCATTAAATTGTAACAACTCGCTTCGACAAAGAAAAGAGTGAATTGCGTTCGCTTACATCGTGCATTCCTGCTCTTCTTCTGCCTGGAAACGGTATGTGCGGTTATCTGGGGAGAGACATAAAAAGTGGATCTTTGAAAAAAAGTTCCCATGGCATCAAAAGGTTTTAGAAATGGAAAAGGCATAAAACAGAATCCTCCCTTTGTCACGTCACAACAGCACATCAATTATAAGAAATCTCTGGCATCCATCGCACATAAAATGTGTCTGGTCCCGGTTTCTATTTAATGTGGTGACCAAATTGGCGAGCGTCCACACAGCTGCAAAGCACATGACTCTGGAGAGTCTTCAACGGTGACATGCGGAAGGCCAAAAGTTCAGAGGGAACCTACGAGTGACCAGGTCAAAGGTCCTCCTGTCCTCTGGGTTCGGCCGCACCTGACAGGTCAGTAGGTTCAACTTGGTCGGCGGTCGGTTGATCTGAAGACGGACACAGACGTGACAGTGTGAGCGCTGGAGAGCTGGACAGATTTCAGGTCATCGCGCGCTTGAATCTGAACCGGAGCGCTTGGTGGCGGTTTGGCACATGAGTCCTCACCGTGCTGTGGGAGATTGTCAGGCAGCCAAATTTCACTCCACACTTCCTCTTCTGCCAAACCTTCCTGATCCTGCAGCAAAACATACCAAAGGGGAAAAGGTTTTAAAAAAAAGGGGAGGACAAGAGCTGAATGGTTTTTGTGCCGTACCTTAAGTGATGAAAGTGTTCCCATGCAGCCTTGATTTGCATAATTGTGCTGGCCAAGCGCACTTCTGTTCACAGCCCTTCATTACGTTTTCATTATCTTGATTCAATCCTTTTAAATGGCTGAGAACATGTCAGTGGCCTGGGGAAAGTTTTCCCTCGTCTTCCATTTACCCTACTGAACCACATCCCCTCTCCTTATCACACCGGGATCATGCTCTGCGTGTGTGTGCGTGCGCGTGTGTGTGTGTGCGAGCGCATGATGCTAAAGCTGGATCCGTTCAGTTGGCGAGTCTGCCAATAAGTTCCACAGGAGGGGCCCCTGCTTGAGTCTTCATCTCACAATAATGAAGACCAGGTGGGGTAGACCAAGTCTGAATAACCCAATCCTCTCTCCTTACTGCTCTCGGCAGAAAGGTTTATCACTTTGGACATAAAAGTAAAACTGAATACTTTACAATTCCTACATTTTTTTAGTTAGAATTTCTTTGTTGGCTTTACAGCGCTTGTTGATGTTGTTCAAACCTTGTATACTTGTGTTTTTCATTCAAATTAAATACTGGAATGTGGCTGGCTGTGGCCTGATATTTGAACACTGTAACTAATGCTTTTACACACCCATCACTCTTCTTGAGCAGGAAGCCAGATTTTTCCGTCCCATACTTCTTGTTGCCCTGCGGTTGGTGGATGCTGTACCCATTGCCAGAGTTCTTCCTGTTCAGATACTCCTAGGATACAAAAAGAGATTTACTTTTTTATTTACTTTGAATGCTGGAAGGCCAGCTCAAGACAAAGTAATCCGATAGCATCAATTAAAGCCGTAAGCCGCGGAACATTTCAGAGCCCACGTGTTGTTTATTTATACAAAACAGTATCACTAAAGTTATTAATTCTGGTACTTTATATATAATGTGCATAGCAAAGATACGTTATAACCAAGCACACCTCTTTCCCCTCCACTTGTAGAAGTAATTTGAGAGAATCCCTCAACTGAGTGAGTTGTTTAACCTCCTCGTCCTGGTCCAGACGCACCTAAAAACATACAACACATAAGTCACTTTATTCAATTGCAAGAATAAAAAAGGTTATTGGAGGAACAACAGGTTTTCTTTTCTTCGTTTGTTCCAGGAATTGGGTGTGGAATGACATCAGAGCTTTGTGCAATGGCCTAGATAATGCAGAACAGATCTAAGTGCAGGGGTGTGTCGTCCTAGGAGGTTGTGTTGTATTCATTTCTTTCATGGTACATGAGTCTGTCTAACCCAAGGATGTCCGCATTTCTCCAGGGAGCCAGGACACAGATTCCGTGGGACATTTCCTTCTTAAGTCCTCAGACTGGCGTGTCTCAGCGGGTCTGTTCTCGGCCTACGCGGAACCAGAAAAACCTCTAACGTTCTTAGTGTCACAGTTAGTCGGTTTCCCGGTCTGCAACCAGGAAAGGGACTGCAAACGCGGCGCAGTGGTTGGAGACGTTGGTGCGCTCCAGGGGGAGGAAGGAAAAGAAGGGATGCCTTCGGTTTCATCTTTTTGGACGCATGTCTGGAAATACGTTGCAACAGGATTCTCTGCCTGTAGGTTTGGGCTTTGGTGAGAGGGTAACAGAGGAAAGGGGGCTCTATGAGCTACAGGAACTCTTACTGGCCTCTTAAACGCAGTTGTGACTACTGAGACCGAGAAGGAGGGTGACAAATGAAACCAGTAAAGTGGGAGGGAGGGCAACATTAATATGCACAGTACAAGCAGATGTCTAGTGAATTGTGAAACATCTGTTTGAGCCAGTCAGGGCACCGGCAGTTACCACAGACCCTAACCGTTGCCTTCTTAATCCTGATGTATATTCTTCTGAAATCGTGACAAAGCTGGGAAATAACCACACACACTCTATGGTATATTGTAGGAAGCAGCAGCTTCCGTGTATTTACCGTGTGAACAGAAGCAGCAAGCTTCTCAACAAAAGGAGAGAGATTCTCTGCAGCTTTAAGTCCATCCTGAAAGAAACTGAGAACAGAGAAAGAAAAAAATGCAGAGTCATGGAACAGTCCAAACATCCTTGTGCACGCCAAGAAAAACATCACATGCCCAAGCAGCATAAGCAACTCTGTCCCCACATAAAACCGATGGTATGATTAAAAACAGGCTAATGGTTAACAACAGCGTGTAAAGGAACATGAATTAAACTCAAACTCAAAGCAAAATCTCAAAAAGATGTCTGTGCACTTTTCAGGCCAGGAAAAAAAGAAAGAAGGTAAAAACCATAAAGGCAACATGGGCTGAGACGGACCTGAGCTGGGCCTGGAAATATTTGATGAGGCTCTGGAGAAGATCAGGGCCCTGACGCACTTTGAGCTCCTGGATCTTCAGGAGATACTGAAAGAATAAACAACAAGATTCAGAAATGGCAGCTCTGCATAGAAATGTGATGCGAGGTTGACAGCCAGTAAGTTCTAGTAAGAAATATTGCAGGGAGAAATGGAACAAGAAGCAGCGGCCACGGTGAGCCTGGAACTGCCTTTGCGGAAACAACCGGTAAATGGGGCGTTGCCATATCAACCAGGACTAAAATCGCCCCTTTATGGGTCACCTAAGACGACACAGCTTTAATTATCATGCATGTTTTGAATACGTAGCTTATTACTTTCTAGGTCACTTCTTCACGTTGTGTCGGATAACACAGACACACTAGAGCAGGCTTTGTTTCTCCGAGTGGAAGAAACGACTACATTCTCTGCTGCGCAAAACCTCAAAGTCTCAATCCATCGGGCTCTCTGCAGCTGATGCGGCGCCCGGCTCAGTGAAGTGTTTCTGTCCTTGCGAGTATGTACGCACTGTGAAAGAAGGCAGGGCTGGAGCGGTTTGCAACAAGTGGAAATTCCATTTTTCCCAGCCTCTCCTCTTTGTCTCGACAGCTGGTCTCGGTCAGGATTAAATGTGCGCCAACACATTAAGCCGAAGCTGTATGTTGAAGCACTGGCAGAGCGTGGATGGAAAATGGCATCCACAAAGGAGGACCACCCGTGTGAGCTAAATCATTGCATTCAGGTACAGTAGGGGTGTCTGGGTATGGATGTTTGCACTGGAACTAATCCCTCACCTCACACATCTGCAGCTGAAAGGTCCTTCTCTCTCTCTCCATGTCCTCCCCGCCTTCAGAGCCCTCGGTCCTGATGAGGCCCAGCTGCCTGGTCTTCTCCTTCCTCTCCTTCTCTAGCTTTCCTCTGATGGGGGAGGGGAGAGTGAGGGGGAAAGAGTAAGTCAAAAAAATTAAAGAGAGTCATTGTTGTGCAACGTGTACAATTATTCTACCCCTGTGATCGTCTCTCTTTCTGTAATGATTCCATTTTTGAGCATTTGCTATGTCTTACTCGTTCGCCTTACAGAGAGAAGGTAGAGGAGGTGAGGTGAAGGGGGGGGAAAAAGGGGAGCGGCGAACTCCCTGCGCACCGTTACAATGAGATCAAATAATGGCTGCAAGTGCAATACCTCCTTTTATTTCATAGCAATGCAATAGATACAGGCCATGGGGAATGAACTATTATCCCATTAACCTCTGCGGTTACATCAACGTCTATGATGCCATAAAACACTGGCAAGAACTGAATATGTACCACGCGATTCTTCTCAGGCAAAAACAACTGTCTGAGGCTTTAATTCGTTTTCTCTCGTGGAGAAATCAGACTGAAGGCGCCATATGAATGTGAGGTAACTCAATTACATTTTTATGTCGTACTCCTTCCAACTTTTCTCCATTTGTTTCTTGAGCTCCTGCAGAGAAAAGAAGAGAATAAAAGAGAAGCGGCTTAGATGAAATCGTCAATAGTCTGGTTAGAACTGGTTATGTGCAAAGATCTGGATGGAGCCAGACAGGTTAGGCACGGAGACATGATTACTCACACTATGCTAACTACTCTGCAATCTGGCTGAGCAAGATTCCAGCGGCGCTTTGCCTCTGTTTGCAGTTACAGTAAAGCAATGTTCAGCTGTCGAATCAGCTGTTTCAAAGACGGGAGACAGTACCGGCAGCCTGCTGAAGCTTAAGCTTGTTATTATTTCCCAATAGTCTGTCGCCAAGGCAAAAGGTAAAGAACACTGAGCGAGACAGATTCAGTATTGGAACATAGCTCAGTCTTAATCATTAATCTGCATAAACACCCTTATCTTATCCAATAGCTTAGCAGGATCAGCTCCGTCCACGACGGAGACAGACAGGATTACCTGCTGAATGAGGAAATCCACCCTAAAACGGATTTTACAAATGGTACAAATATGTTATACCATGTTCTAGAGGGGCAACAAAAGCTCCACATTCAAACTAATTCATCACGGGTGCCGTCTTGATAGTTGTTCCTTAATTCGCTACAGAGCTTGACAATTAAAGTTCATAAATGAAAACTGCGAAATAGTGAGCAGTAAATAGGTGCACTCTCACTTCTCTTTAAGCAGCAGTTTATTAGTATTTGATACGTTTATAATCAAATGTAGACGACTCACTAGTCTGCTGTCCCGGAGTTCTGACTTCAGCACATTTTCCAGAGGAAAGGCCATGATGTTGTTGAGGTTTTGCACCTGAAACATGTACAAAGCAAATGGGGAAAGAGGTTCAAAAGAATGTAATGATGTTACATGTGCCCTTGTCTTGCAGTATAAGCAAACACACATGTGCACATGCTATTAAAACCCTCCTATTTCTCTAAGGACCCCCATTTCTGGGAATAAATTAAATCAAATCAGGGCGAGTGCGTCATTTTCAGCTAGTGGGTCATGAAAATCAAAACACACTGAACGCTAATCTACACCATCTAGCCACCATCTAGATGACGCATTGACTTTTATTACCGTTTGTGGATCTGGGGAGAGTTGATCGTAAAACAACCAGCATTACACCTACAGGTGCCGCTTTATAGTGACACGTATTTACCACAAAGCCTCCTGCTCTTTAACATAAATAATGTCCACCCACTTCCGTGAATCGACCGCAGAGCCGACCTTCAGATGTTGACACAGAGGCCTGGAGGAAGGATTGTTTTGGTTGGCATCCAAAAGCTGAGGTAACGAATAGATAATACGTGGCCCTCTGACACAAACTACTCCCAAAGTGTCAACATTTTGACGAATGACGCATGCCTGTATGAACAGTGGAACCAGTACGCCTATGACAATAATGCCTTTTGTTGGATCATACACTGCTTAGGAAAGAATTGCAATAAACAATATCATTCTCACATTAAGATGATGAACTTTATGCCACTGAATGCGGGTCAAAACATTCTAAATAAATAAAACCTAAATAATTAAAACCACACGACCAAATCTATCAATGGACTATCAAGGTTGGTTAACAATAACATCCAATGGCAGGAAAAACCCTGCAGTTTATTATGAAATCATGGGCAAAAAAAACAGAACAGGAAAGAATGAAAACACAACGGGCAACATCGAGGTCAACCAGCAGGATTGAGGTCATGTTGACATATAGTGCAATAAGTAGAAGAAATGTACAGATTGGTTGACTGCCTGATGCATGTGTTGTACATGTAGAGTATTTAGAAAAGGAACAAGTTAAATGATGTCAACATATTGTATGATAAAACAAAAAAAAGAATCAGGCCAGGGGACACATCACACGTGCGTATCATTAGGGGACACGCTCCGGTTGATTTGGTACGACTCCTAAATTCACCCTTCTTTTGGGCCCACTTCCCCTTCACATCTGTGAGACCCGGTCTCCCCTGTGTGGCCTTGATTGACACATTGGAGGGAGTGTGCAAGACCGTGTGTGTTGACTCACACGTGGAGGTCTGGGATGAATTATCATCGCCATAGAAACTATCAGTGGGAGGGTTCCGGGACGGCCCCGGCTTCTTCAGTCAAGAGGTGGGAGCGCGCAGCTGTTGAAAACATCCTTTCCTATTTCTGGTGCACACACACACGCACAATATCTTTTGTTGGGGTATTTTTACATGCTGTTGACACTTTTTTTGAATTCCCTTGCTGCCTACGGCCTTCGGATATTGCACATGTGCTTTTAACTTTTAGCACAGCCAATTGGACCACAGCTCTCCTCTCCCTCCCCCTTTTTCCGAGGCACTCGTCTCCTCTTTTCCTCACCAGATTTTTGAAGAGGGCCGTGACCTCCCTGGTAAACACAGCCAGGTTGAGGAACCCCGTGGAGACTTCGTTGTTGTCCTGGGTGAGGTGGCTGTTCCCCAGGTTCTCCAGCACCTCAACATACTGCTCCTTGTTTTCCACGTGGGCTGAAAAACACACACACACACACACACACACACACACGGACACCAAGAGACATCAACGGTTAATGGGCGACTCCCACTTGAGTTCCGTGTGGGGAAGTTTCTTAACAAGGCCGATTAACCTTCTCTGTTGCAGCGACAGTATTTCAACTAGACGAGCATGTGACAAGATGAGGGAATACTGATTTCTACCCTAAAGGGACTAATCTTTCACCTTCCCATGGGTCGTCCCCTTAATGGACTCTCAATCTGTTTCAATTATGTGGAAAAAGGCTGATGGGAAATAATCCGAGCTCCTGCTGGCTTCACATTGGCCCACATTTCACTACGGTCAGTTTTACTGCTATGTTAAAGTGAGGCTCAGATAAGGACGTCAATAAAAACAATTTACAATGCAAGCCCTACGGAAATCACCTCAGGCGACCTTGAAAAAACATGCAAAACATTAGGGGCAAAACTAAATTAATTCAATTATTGTTTTGCATAACACTTAAGGAAGTGGTGAAGACACATGTGGGCAGAAATCTGCAGATGTGTCCGAGGCAGACAAAAGCCAAAGGGGAAGTAAAAGAACGGAGCCTCCGTGACGGCATAAAGAAACATAAATAACAAACAACGCACAATCAACTATCAGAACCACAAACCGCTGAGGAGCTTGAGGGGAGGATTTTAAGGATGACCTTTAGAAAAGGACACCAGCAGAGCAGAACTCAACCCCTCGACTCCTCTGCCAGAACACACGAGTCTTGGCAGAGCAGTGGTACTTAGCAGTTGATGGGAATAGACATCGAAAGAGGAGAACGTCTCACCGTGTGTGTGTGTGTGTGTGTGTGTGTGTGTGTGTGTGTGTGTGTGTGTGTGTGTGTGTGTGTGTGTGTGTGTGTGTGTGTGTGTGTGTGTGTGTGTGTGTGTGTGAGAGAGAGAGAGAGAGAGAGAGAGAGACGGACCATTAGACTAGTGTGGGGGAGGGACCGAGCGGGCTGGTTAAAAACATAATGACACCAGTAGTCATATTACCGGTTAGACACAGGGGAAGCAAGGACGTAGATAATATCGCTGACGATCATATGTGGTCGATGGATTCTGGGAAGCCGCCTCTGACACATCTAAAACTAGGGAGCTGTATCCCTGAAATGGGAAGTTTGTAAAGCCAGGCCACAATAACAACTTACGGATCTGTTTCTCCCGCGCATTTCAGAGGGAAACACTCACATCCTGGGAATGTTCACCTCTGATAGATCGACGGCGAGTAATAGCAACGTGCTGTAGCGGCCACAGACACACACCAACGGCTTGTTGTAGCTAAAAGCACACACGCTATTTGCACAACAAAACCATACACGATATAAACACAATGACTCCATGCACTCTGGTGCCATAACAAAGGGCCTCCCTCATAAACACTTCATGATGTCATCTCAAGTGTTGGTCACACTGATCAGCTTCATGCGACAATAATGACTTTTACTTCAAAACTAGATGTCGGGCTGACACGCTTAGGGAGAGACGTGGATTGTAGAACTTGTCAAATGTTTGCATTGCAGTAATGTACACATTACAAATTATAAGATGGGAGTCCATTCTTGACCTGGTAAAAGAGCGGTTTTGTGGAGCTTTCTTCTGATCCTGATAGAAGCTTTGTAAAAGCGAGTTAGTAATAGAGATCGTTTGGTCAAAGTCAAGAATGAACTTTCATGCATAACTTCAAGCCCACGTGCATTAGAAGACCTCAAAGTGCTGTTGATGAAATCACAAGCGACTTTATCACGTGACCAATGTCTACTTACAGAGTCCAGACGAATGTATAGCTTTGATCATTTTCTTCATCCTCTGCAGAGTTGTGTGGTCCGTCTCCAGAGACTGCATCAGATGACAAGGAAACAAATAATCAGCATTGCTGAATCCAACTACAGTCAAGCCTTCCCGCCCGCCAACGTCCAGAGTACAAGTTAGCAAAAAAAAAAAAAGTGGGAACTCATTATTGCCGAATCGATGGTTGATTCGTGTTTGCGTCATTTGTCTTTGAACCTGTCACAAGGTTCACAGTAGGCGTCAGTGTGGTTATAGTAGTTATGCTCAGTCTTCTCACGGCCTGACTAAGGATAACAGGTGAGTCAGCGAGACAACCGTCTGTCTCGTCATGTGCGACCTTGAGTGATTTATTTATGTTCATTTCACTTCTCAGGTTGGAGCAATACTATCTCACATTGAGACACCCGAAACTTGATTCAAACAGAATAACAGCCTCTGGCAAACCAATACGGTCTCGAAACTTTCCTCACTGAGCTTGACGTGCAGCACTCCCCCCTACATGCCACTCGAAATAGTTTTAACGAGCCAGGAATCTACACAGAACTGAAACACTGCCTTTTTAGATTTGGTTTGCATTCCCAAGTCCACTCCCTAAGCTTCTAGCCCTCCAATTAAAAAGGTGGCGTCTGAGTTTTTGTAATGGAACCCTGCAGACAATGAACGGGAAAGTGATTTAGTGGAGACTGGAGGCGGGAGTCGCCCTCCTGATGCTGCCGCGCTTTCCTCCATTCGGTAAATTGGTTGGCAGACGGAGCACAAACAGTGGAAAGAAGCTCGTGCAGGTTAACAGAACAGGACCTACTTGTTGGATTTGGGGGAAATAAATCGGGGCACGCAAACACACCAATGGGCTAACAGCTCAGCCCTCAGCCGAGAGGGACGAAATGACGCGCAAACGTTCCGTCCAGAGACGGCAATGAGCTCCACCCAAAAGTGGACCGGTGTTGAGAAACAACAAACAACAATGTGTTATTGTAAGTTGTGTTCACCTGCTCTCAGGGTGTGTGCCGGCATGACTAACTAATATCTAATTCTTATTCACTGCATCAAATAGGTAAATGACGCATTTAGCTGGAAAAACCTGCAACAAACATGTAGGGTTCTAAGAGACTGTGGGTCCGTTTCTTCTGCGAAAAACATGGATGGAATCAACCTCAAACTAATTACAGCTCAACTTATAGCAAATGAAACCTTCCGTTGCCCCCCTCCAGCTCGCCCTTTGTCGTTGCCTCTAATCAGGAATAATAAGTAACAAGCAGTGTGTGTGTCGGGCTAAATGGTGTCTCTGTATCCCCGCCGTCGTAACCACACACACGCCTACACTTTACCCGAGTCATTAATCAAGCTGGTGTCTACTGAGCAGACTAAACATAATAACCATAAATCTATCTTTAAAAAGGGACTGTTGTATTTACATCTGGCATCTGGTGTGCGCATCCACCCCTCGGTGTGTGTGTGTGCAGCGACTACGGCTGTGCACTTTCCAACATACTATGGCCATTAATGAGGAAATTATTCCAAGATAAATAGAGAAGTCAACTCTAAAGTAAAGCTCTTTATAAACCCTGGACATCGTCAGTCAGCAGTCATTTTTCGAGCCAGGATGAAGAGCTTTCATCTCTCACACAACTTTTGACAATAATGCGTGAATGTCATTTATCAACTGGATTCCAACGTGCACCTGAATCTGATCCTCTAAGATCAGTAAAATACCACAATATCTGCACTAGAGACTGAATAACTGCAAACAAAAAAAACTTTAAAATAGGAAACTTTATAATCTCCCCCCACTCTTTCACACCAAACCCTTTGTTTCTTAAGCTGATGTGAGCTCGGGCTGAAACAAAGATGAGTCACGGGTAACTTTAGAACATTGAACCATACGGTTATGTGACACGGAAAACACGGGCCAACTTGTGCGCACACTTTGATGTGTTTTTTTTTTTTTGTGGTAGAATTCACAGCATCCTGTCTTTTTCCTCCTTCGACGGGGAGTTTTGAGAGGACGAAGCGCAGACTGGTCTTCACACAGAGCACGCTGAAGACTCACAAAAAGCAAAGGGCCACACACATTTCTGGCATGTCTGCTGTGAGTGTGTTTTCTATTAGAGGCCCATCTCGACTCCCCGAGTACACACACACACACACACACACACACACACTATATGCTAAATTACCTTATGAAAGCCTTGCTGCAGTTATTGCTGAACCAGCACTGAATAAGCAAAAGATGCATCCAAAACAGCACAGTATCACTGGTCTGGACGCACTGAGAACTTGACCAGCAGTATCTGGACTCACGTTTGATTAAAATGTTACAAAACTGGTTCCAAATGTTACAAAACTTTTTGGTCCCATGTTTTTATCATATACACGAAGTAACCCACTGCACCTGAGCCACTACATATTACTTGGAAAATGATATTCTTCTTTATCGCCGTGGTCAAAAGAAAAGGGTTTTTTGTTGTTGTTTTTTTGCACGGCGCTGTGTTTAAAAAAGCTTTCACTTGACAAAAGAAAGCTGGCTAGTCTATTACAGGTGAGAGGAAAAGCGAGCCCCCCCCCTCCTCCTCCTCCTCCTCCCCCTCCCCCGGAGGCCCCGCCGCGCGCACAGGTAAACAACGGACAAAAAGGTCCCCCTCGTCCCCCCGTCCCCTCTCACCTCGTCCACGGCGGACACCGTGTTCCGACACTCGCTCATTTTCGCCTGGAAGCTGGAAGTCGCCGGCGAGGACAGATCCTCGTTCGTCAGGACCACGAAGTCCGAAATGCTTATTCGCTCCGGCATGTTTGGAGCGACGCGGCAGCCTCGGCTGGATCACTGGAGAGAAAAGTGATCCAAAGTTGCGGGCGCGCGTGCAATTCCCATTTGCGTATAGAATAAAAAGACAAACTTCACTCCTCCATCGTGCGAGAGCACAAGGGTCTAAAAGAGACGGCGTGTCCCTCCCCCCCCACACACAGAGAGCAGATTCCTAAAAGCGTCTGGGAGGTGGAACGTTTGCTAAAAGTCGGACCGGAGTCCCGACCGAGTTCAGGCTCCACTCTGCGAAATGCGTGCGCGTGGAGGTGCGCCGGCGCGCTGCTGTCCGCCCAGCGAGGGAGGGCGCAAAACTCCGTCATCACGTGGGAAATGGTTGCGCTTTCTGGAGAGAGGAAAGTTTGTGTGTGTGTGTGTGTGTGTGTGTGTGCGCGCGTGTGTGCGTGCGTGTGTCTCCTTGCCCTGGTCTCTCCCATTCTTACTTCTCATTCCTATGCAAACTCAAACAGAGAGTCTGCAGCGTGGTGGTCGCCATGGATATGCTCAATACCTCATTCACACGCTGAACTGAAGTGGAGGACTTTGATTGGATGAGAAGATGGTTCCTGGCAACTCGGAGCTCTGATGTGGGGGGGAGGGGGGGGTCTTTTGCACTAAAAGTAAATCAAGCACGTGCGTTGCTTCATCTCCCGTTCTTCGCAACTCAAGTAGGGCTTTTGCAGCTGTGCAAATGCCCTTTAATTAAGAGTTTGGAGGTGTAACTACCTCTTGGCCATTTCGTTGGCTGGGGCTTCAAGGCTTCTGCGTCTTCTTTTTCATCTCATGAAAAGGCATTTTTCATGCAGGGAGGATTTCTGTCGACACTCTTCTGAAATCTTCTGACAGTGAACCGAAAATGTCAAAGAGTGCATCACAAGAAGTCCCAAGAGTTGCGTGTGGAACATAACTCCAGCATGCCTGACATTGTCAAGCCTGTTCACTTTGAGAAAAGAGGTGTATCACTGAACAGTGCCTCTGGGTAAACAGTGATACGAGACACTATGAAGTGCAGATGGATGACTTCAGGAAGCCGCATCAGAGGCTCTACCGCCAAACCACATATTAGTTATATAAATGTATCATTTGTCTCAGTTCTGTGGCCAACTTGAGGTGATTTAAAAAAAAATTCCACTTCTTCTGTAACTTCTGATCCAGCTAAGGTCATTAAGCAAATAATGCATTGAACTTGTGAGTATTTAATTGTGTGCGATAACAGTGGTAACATGTTTGTTGTTTTGCAAAAAAAGTGCCCAGAATTTGACATCTGTATTTTATTTGCACACACAGTCACGTTCACAGCCTTTCGTATAGAGCTGCTTCAAGTGGTTTCAAATGTTTTTCTCATGCAACGATTAACAATGTGAACAAAAGCCTCCAGAGGGAACTCAAGAAAATAATGTCCGTTCTTCCAAGGCAGTGAGGGCACGCGACGGACTCCAAACAACGCAATGTTTGCTGACCCAGTTTACGAAGGCCTGGTTCACCCACTGTTTCTCCTGCCAGCACGTATGAGTGAGCGAACGTCATGCAGTGAAACCTACAGGGATTAAGTTTGCATGCTGTACATGTAGTTGTGCACTCTAACAAAAGTCCAACATGTGTTTGTTTTTTTGCATGATGCTCATTATGCATGCTCACATTGTTAGCATGGATATCGGGGGCTGATGTCATGCAGAGGCTTGCAGTGTCCCAACAATACCCTCCTTCAGTTTCCTAGCGGCCGCTTGTAAAGAAGCAGAGTCTTTGTGCGTCTGCCAGCCTTCCAGCCTGCGTCCTATTGTCAAACTCAGCAAACCGGTCTGCTCAGGCAAAGCTCTAACATGAGAGGAGCGCAAGGTCCAAGGACATCAAGGGTGGTGCGGGCGGGGGGGAGTAAGGGGGATGGGAAACCAATAGAAGAAAAGGAAAGGTGGAGGGAGTGAGGGAGGTGGAGGGGGGGGGGAGATGCACAACACAGAGCACAGGAATGAAAGAGGAAAGGAGGCAGATATTAACTTCATTGTCTTGCGAGTGTGCTACTGGAGCCACTTTTCCCTCCTTGTCTCCTCCATTTCCTTCCTAAACACCACATACCCAATCATTGTCATTTCCCATATCAACACACACACACACACACACACACACACACACACACACACACTCCCCCTGCCACTGTTGGTGATTTCACTCCTTACTTATATCCCCACAGAGTGCTAACCTCCTTCTTTTCCTTCCCGGCGTTCCTCCATTTGGCTGTGAGAAAGCGAGGGACACCGAATACGGCTCCTCTCTTTCTCTGACGCACGCGTGCTGCAGCACACGAGCCGTAGCCTCATCTTCCAGTAAAGGCTGCAGTTTGCCAGGATTTCCTCACGGCTTCCCAGCAGGCCAATGGAGTTGCAGCCTCTGAACAACCCCCCCTCCATTTTCCCTCCTTCTGAAAAAATCTCCCTCTACGCTGTTGATTCAGCTCCACTAGTCCTGTTATCAATTTACTACCCGTGTCAAGCCAGGAGGCCCAGGCTTACCGTAAAATACCCCCCCCCCCCCCCGCCTCCTTTACGGTCAACACAGATGACTGAAAATGGGAGTTTTGGCAAACAGAGGGGTTTGATTCATTGTTTAACACAGTTCACCACTGGACCGGGCATACAAAGTGTGTCAAGCAGGGCTCTTCTGTCAACATGCACCTTCAAGAAGCTGCCCAGCTGCACTCTTATGGAGAACCAGTGTGGGAGGCCTCTGCTGCCGCAGAGAGACCTGTGACACTTTGTCACAGCTTCCGCTTTGAGAGTCAACTGAGCATTATTTGTCTCTCCGCTCAGTGTCCTCTGTGGCGTGGCAGCTGCCGACGCGCCGTCCCCGCGCGGCGACCGCACCCTCAGACGGACAACCCCCCTCATCACCGTTGGCATGGCAACAAAAAACGTTTCCAGACCCGTAACACAGGTAGTCAAACGTGTTTGTGATCCATGATTCTAAACACAATGACACGCTCGAATCATCTGACTGTCTCGTTCCCGATGAATAAACTACTGAGAACAACTCCCTTTTCACTAAACTGTTACTCCGACCCATTGGAAACTAGTAGCTTTTATCCGTTGATATCTTTTAAATTCATGACTAAATGAATAAACTCCTGATTTGACACCTCACAGGATTTTAAAAGGTTTGAGTGAACACAATCAGCCGCCTGTCAGTGCGTCCCAGTAGCACTAAATACCAACCATGGTCACTTAGTTCCCCCCCGCCCTTAACCACAATAATACTACCATTATGGGACCCTTCTGCAGCTCGTGGCGCTAAACACTGACATGCAGCGGCGTGGCCGCAGGTCGTCGCTGCTCAGTGACAAGCTGCCGCTTGCGAAACACAAAAGAGAGCGTGTTTTGTTTTGGCCGGTTTAAGAGCACAGCAGCTGGTGTCAAGGTGTTTGCTGTTTTTGATGGGATGCAAACCACCCAGTGAAAGGCAGCGTTTGTGCACCTCTCAGGTCACAGCCGCTCCTGAAAGCGTGAGCTGTTGTGCGCAACATCTGTTAATAGACCCAGAGCGGCAATAGAGGCCTGATGTTGGTTCAGAAGCCAGTTCTCAGCAACCTGGTGCACGAGGAGACAGACTTTCTTTGTGAGGGTTAGAAAGAAAAAGGCTTGTCGGGCTTCGGAGTGTTGGAAGCCTGTGTTTTACTATATTTCGCTGAACGCTTTAGGTGTTTCACATAAAATTTCTTCAGGAAAGAATTATCCTATTACGCCGTGCACAGTTTCTCACAGCGTTTGGTAATACGGGTTTAGTCGTTCCCAAAAAGCAGACAGCAAAGACGATGTCCTCCCTTTCATTTTGTGTGAGATATCAGCCAAAAAACCGGTGGGACATTTGTGATGCCTTTCATTGACAATGTCTTTACCCCCAGAACCCATTGGCACTATTCCGTCCCAGTGACCCACTGAACTTTGACCTCCAAGGTGCCCTCCCCCTTTCGTGAGCTTGTTTCCTAAGCAACCAACGAACAAAGAAGGATGTTTTTTGGTCTACCTGTACCTGAACCAGTAATCTGAATGTGTTCAGATTACTGGTTATCTCTCCTTTGGGACTGACACCTCTTATTGGGTCCACGCTGGATCGCAACAACGTTTGAAGATGAATGGAGTGCTGAGTGATGTATTTCAAATGTAGTTTTCGTGGCAAAAAAAACGTTCCTGACATGACAAGCGAGGAAAAAAAATGAAAATGGCACACAGCTCCAAGTGTAAAACATGGCTTCAATATTTATTTAATTATTTCAAACAGACCACACAATATTACAAAATATTAAGTGCCACATGTCATTCAAGAAAAGTTTAGGCTTCTGTAAAAAAAAACAGTATCAACCTTACAAACGAACTCAGAAAAACAGGTATAAATACAAAACAAATTATGTACAAATACCAACAAAAAAAATCAACGTTCATTGAATAAAAACCCTACAAATTCTCAATTAACCTTCTCTAATTCTCTACATTGTAAAAACTCACACACACACAAACACACCATGACACCCATTTCCCAAGCTGCCAGATCCACACAAGCACACATTTTCAAGTTTTCTTAGGACAGGACAGTTAGCTTATCTCTGCAGTGTAGAGGGAAAGCCAAAAATACATCAGCATGAAAGTTACATTTCCAAATATCTAAAACTCTTTGAACAACAACAACAAAAAAAACTTTTAACAGATAGAAGTTGCAGCTACTGTTTCCTCGGTTCCATGTCCTTGACATTTTAAGTCAGTAAGCGTTCACGGGCTGAAGATACAAATACCTTCTTGTTGCTGCTGGATCATTAGACATCATTCATTTTGGAACAGTAAACGCAAACCTCTAATCTAAGTAAACCTTAATTAAACCAATTGAAGCACCTCCCGCCACAACAGCAACACAGATGCTGCGTATCATTTGATTTGGTTATTTCCTCAGAAATACAATAGTAGTTTCACACCACGGAATCTTATCAAAATCAGTCTCATAAATAGAGGAGCACTTGGATTTAAAATAAAGCTGCCAAACCAACAAGAGTGACTGTGATTCTCTTGCTCAGTCAAGAGCAAGAGCACTTTTTCACAAGTTATTAACTCTGGATCCGGGTCCACTTTTTTGGGGGGTCAGAAGCTGCCTTTCACGTTTGGGCAACACAACAACGCGGCACCAAACAGGTACGAGGCCCAACGCGAAGAGCCGACCTGGTCGCATACGAGCAACGCGAGCCAAAGAAACGGCAGCTCATGATCCGGTTTGTCGCCGTACTGCACAGAAAGCTGTAGGCGCTTGGATGCACCCACACACAGACCAGCGTTATTCACAGCTTCACATCTTGGTCAGTGTTGAAGATACATCCCCATCAAAAACATCCTGTGTGTGGTTCTTTATGGCTTCAGCTAGCGGCCACAAAACATCTCTGACTTTAGAAACACGGGAGAAAATGATTCCTGAGTTGACACACGGTGAAGACCGCCTGAAGAGGGAAGGCAACGGATTATATAACGGCTGTCTTTGTAGCCCAATCTGAAAAAGTGAATGGTCCAAATAAGTGTCTAACAGCACGTCCTAAAAGGGTGGAGAAAACACATATGTGTCAATCTCAGCCGATCTTCCAGTACCGTCATTCTTATGCGCAAATGATTTTTACTTGGTTAAAATGAACAAAGGGGAAAGCGCTTCCTTTGGAATCATTGACATTAAAACAGGCATGGTAAAAAAAAAAAAGAAGAGTTATGGCTTTATAGTGTAATATTCTCTACATCAAATATCTTAATTTAATCAAATATCCCGCCACCCTGAATCTCCCCACATTCCCTGCTGCCTCCTCCACCTCCACCTCCACCTCAGCTCTTCAACAGTTCTCCGAGGTCGTACGTGTCGAAGAAATCGGACACTCCCTCGCTGTCCTCCAGGCTCCACAGGTAGTCGTCGTGGTCCAACGGGGGAGAGAAGCTGACAAAGGGGGCGTTGGGGTCCGGTGCGAAGGAGGTGCACGGCAGTTGGTCGTCTGTGAGCTGGAGCAGGCTGGGGGGCAGACCCAGCAGGCGCTCCACGTCCAGCAGAGCCGAAGCGGAGGACGAGGAGGTGGCTGCAGCCGCTGTGGACATTAAGAATGTTAATATTTGTCTTAAACGTTAAAAGTTGTAACTATAAAAAACATACTTTTCATGCATCTGTTTTTCAATCGTATCAATTCAATCGTATCCCCTCTGATCGTTCATTTTTATTCATAGTTAGTAAATTATGAATACATAATATCCAATATTTACTGAGTTGACACTTAAAACCGCAATTGCGTGTGTCATAGATGGAGAATGTTTTGGGAAATGCTCTTATACAGCTGCACCACGTTGGCACATGTGATGGTAACTTTTCTTGTCGTTGTTAAAGTAAACTGTCTCATTACCGTTTATTAATTCCTTTGGACAAAGCGAGTCGACTGCTTCTAAAAGCAGAGTGGCAGAATCACACACACACACACACACACACACACACACACACACAACTTAAATAAAGTGACTCCCAGTGAGACGTCATAAAACCCAGCTTACGTTCCGCGGGCTCCTCTTTGGCGCTGTAGCTCGGCGGCGCCATGGCGGTTGCAGTTGGGGGATCGAGGGGTTTAGAGAACTCCTTTATGGGGGTCGCAGCACTTTTACCTGGGCTGGCATCTTCAAGACCCTCCTCTGGACACAGGTACACTTCAATGGGGCCATTCTTACTTTTTAAATAGATTTGTAACGACCCCTGCTGTAAGATAAGATGATACAAACATATAGTTATAGTTTCATTGCATTTCTTCATCCGTGGGAGAGTTTTGTTGGTTTTTAAAAAATCTGCGTTCTCACCCCTGCTGTGTCCGGCACTTCCAGTTTTGTGTCAGCAGGGGCCTTGACGGCGATGACCGTCTGGTCTCGGAGAGTTCCGATGGAGCGAATGTCCTGATAGGTGACATATCCCAACGTGCAGCCTGTGGTCAAGGCCGACAACGGCTGCAGAAATCTGAAAGTCTATTGGCACGTGTAACCAGGCCCAGTAGACAAAATATAGAATGATGCTCATCTTTCACACACACACACACACACACACACACACACACACAGCCTGATGTAAAGGATATCTCTTATTATCTTCATATTCAGTGAGCTGTTTGAGCTGCGCGGTGCTGGACTGGACTAAATCATCCAGAGATCTTTCTACTCTCTCCAGTTCTCCGAGTTCTTTCCTCAGGGCACAAGCCTTCTCTCCGCCAGACGCGCCGCCCTCAAATACGTCTCCAACCCTGCAAGGACACACGCGAACACGGAAATAATCAAAATGCGTGAGGACGTGATTGCAGTAAAAAATGTATAATCGGTCGGCGTGGTTCAGAGGAGGTTGTTTGATGTTGTGTAGGGATGTTGTAAGGTCCTCTACCAGCCACTAGGGGGCAGGAGAGCCACGTGGAAACAGGATTAAAGCCAGTTGGAGAGTTGTAGCCGCGCACCACAAAAAACAACTGTTTTTGATCGTATTTTAATTTGGTGTTGATTAACTGTAAATACAAATCTGAGCCTCGTACAGGCTGTTTGACACGAGCCGATTAACTGTGCCCGACTGTGTTAGGAGACGTGTATAAAGGACTGAACCGAGGCTGTCATGTGGTCTATGACCACAAACATGTGGCTTACCATCCTTTTGGAGTCTGGAAATCCCGCCAATCATCAAATGTTTGGGCAACCTTTGGTTTGGGGGACTTTTTAATAAGGGTGGTCTTCTGCGCTGGTACTCACAGCCACTGGATGTTGTTCTTAGACTTCTTTCGGATGAGCTGCACTCCCTCCAGGACGTTGGTGATGTCATAGATGCGCCTCTTCTGGACCTCCAGGACCTCGGTGGCCCAGTTCAGGTCAAGAACTCCGTCGGGAGACTCGGCGATCAGACCCACAAACTTCTTGGTCAGCAGGCCCAAGGACGTGTCGTAGCGCGTCCTCTCCCCTGGAGACTTCGGAGCTGAGGGCAAAGATAGAGACACAGGGACACGAGGGGGACATTAAGAAACAAAAACAGCAACCATCGACAAATATATGTGGCAATTTCAGAAGAAGAAATGTGAGCAACCATGAAAAGGAAGACGAAACAAAGAATATTTAAACTGAACCTCGTTAGATTTATTAACACAAGACGTTGGAGCGGAGAGATATTATATGTTTTAAATCTCTCCCAAATGTAGGCCTCCTTCCAGTAAAAAGGTGTACGTGGCTAAACATGTTCAAGGTGCAAACATTTAATCAGACAAGTGTGTGAATGTGTGAATGTGGCTTGCGTTGCGCTGCGTGTTTACGATGCTAGTCGTTGATCGTAAACGATGCTCACACCACATCACAGAAGCACGGATGCTACCGTCTGCTCTGTGCACGAATCTGGCTCGGTCTTCCACATGTTTACCATTTGTGGGTAGAACTTGAATCCAAAAACAAGAGAGATTTAAATGTGTTTTTGGTTTAACAATTCAAGCGCCACGACTCCCTCTAAGAAACTCACTCATTTGGACTCGATCGGTTCCTCAGACTTCCCTCTTTGCACTTACAATCACTTACCCACTTAAGCTTAATAAAGCTTTTCTTTGTGTTTAAATTAGCTATTCGTTATTGTGACTGAAAAACAGTGTAGCAAATACATAAAATCCCATTTAATGACTCCCTCTGCTGTAATGCAGTCCTTAAAACCAGCAAAAGAAAAACCCTTAAGCAATATCAAAATAGCCAAGACAATACCGTTATAGTGCCCCACCTATTATATTAATGTTACAACTCTATGCAGGCTGTTATGTCCATGTTTCTGCTTCTCGCCTCTCTTTGAATGGCCTCTCGCCATTTGCACTGCAAACTGGATGTTACTTGAACAGAAGCAGTGCAAAGATGTATCCACCACAGATGCCACTGCTAACAAACCACCTCTCTCCAGTCCGTCTATCCGTGGATTGGTAGTTGTTGTACTCACTCCTTGGACTTGGTATCCTGGCGGCGATGCTGCATTTGCCTTTTGGCGTGCGGAACTCTGGCAGGTAGAGCGGGTCCTCCAGATCCAGCTTCCTTTTAGCCTGGAGAGGAAGGAGTTGATGTTCATTAGTCATGAATCGATAAAAGCATTCACTTCGTGGTCAGCTTGAAACAAGCTTTTACTCCTTTTACTTGACAAGCTGCGGAGTTAAATCATGAGAATGAAGTGTATGAGGCACGTCCGGCCAATCCGTGAAACAATGACATCAATGCTGCAGGCTGATAAATAGGGGGAGTTGAAAGGTGTAGGAACTGTTCCAACAGCCCTCCAGGGCAGGAACAAAGCACCCCTGTAACACTTCCCCGAGCACAAGAGGGGCCAATCTCATGTGTATGTGTGTGTGTGTGTGCGCGCGCGTGTGTGCGTGCGTATGTGCTTGGGTGTGTTGATCGTCTCTCCGACTCAACTGCCTGTGAAATGCAATGAAATCCCTTAAATCACTCAATGACCTCTCCTCCCCCTCTCCAACCCCCCTGCGTTCCCTTTCTCCCACAAATCCACACCCAGGCTCTCTACACAAACACTAAAACACACACACACACGATTACTTGACTATCACTGCAATGCATCATAGGATATGACTTAAAGCGCACACACACCTTTGGACCACAATATAAACTAGAATATAATCTCTTCCACCACTTTCCCAGTGACCTACATCGGTCCCGTGTAGCAAAAAGTGAAAGTCACATGGACCCCGTGTTCCTCACGGGATTGACAAAGGACCAACTGTCTGAAAAAGGACAAGTTGCACAAGGTGGCGACACCCTGAGGCGCGGATTTCCTTCCGGTTCATCGTTAACTCAAACACCATAGACGATAGAGAGAGAGAGAGAGAGAGAGAGAGAGCGAGTTTGTGTTCACTGATGTTAGCATAAGGCGCCGCTGAGGCTGCTGGGTATTTGGCTGCATCTGGCCTGCATGAGGACCTCACCTCAGTCGTCCACGCTCGTGTCCTCCCAGGCGCCCGTGTCGTCTCAGCACTCTCACACTTCCCCCGGCTGTCCTCGGGAATACCGCTGAACCGCAGCGCGGTGCTTTTTTCAGAGACGGAATTTTTTTTTTTTTTAAAGTGCCGAATGGACTGACCCGCGCGTGGATGCGGCCTGTGCGAGGCCGGTGAAGGCCGCTATTGTCCCGGCGCTTCTGCCCCGACGCGTCCACCTGTCGCCCAGCGACATCTGGAGCCTCGCAGCGAGAGTGTGCGCGCGCTCGCTGCTTTTAAATCCTCGCAGCGCTACGCTGACTTTAGTGGGAACACAAAAATTCGGGGGGGGGGACGAGTTCCTGGGGACCCCCCCCCTCTCCGGCAACTGTTAGCAGTAATTTGTGGGATTAACGGCGGCGTTTTCGTTGGCTCAGAGTCCTGACGGGAGCTGCCAACCACCAGGGTTCACAGGGAGGAATCGGATGTCGTCAAGCGCAGAGAAAAGGCCGGTCTGGTTTTATCGTCGGTCCCGGTGGAGGTGGCGTATGAAAACCGAGGCCTTGACTTTAATTAACAGAAAGTGCACTTCTGAGACCTAGATGTGCTTTTGTGGGGGGGGGGGGGTTTGGGGACGTTGCAGGCCTTTCAATTTTAAGTCGTAGGCGTGGCGACATGTTGTAAGCCATGTTGCCACCAACAGTTTCACCGCCCTTTTTATTTCTCTGGTGAGTCAACCATGTTACGCAAACAACATTTCAGGTGGTAGAGCGGCCAGCTGTTGGTGGATTTATAGGCCGGCGTTCAAGCACGTTGCCTGAGAAAAATCTCCCCCGAACACTAAAGCTGGACCTTAGAAGCATCAATATTATCCACACTCGTTTGCTTTACGTTCTACGACTGATTCCTGCGGCTGCTGCAGGGGGGGGGATCACGCAGTGGCATCACGTGAAGGACTTGTGCAGTTGGGCCTCTCGTCAAACCGACAGACCTGGTCTGACAGGCTGCATGGGACTCAGAGCCCAACCCAGTTGTGGGCGAGTTACAGTGTGCCAACAAAGATCTACTCGTCTGTACCCAAATCCCTCCCTGCAACGCCCTCAGAGGGAAAAGAGAGCAGAACGCACAGCGCTGCCTACGCTGCTGATGGTCCACGGCGATGTTAAAGATGTCAAAATGAAGGCCAACTTGGTCCGGGGTCAAAGGGGTCAAAAGCCTGAGGCCAGGGTAAAACAAGGTGAATGAGGCGCAGTAGAAAAGGGATTTTGGGGGTGAGTGCACGCGGGTTGGCTTGGCAGCCAATGACAACGTGTGACATCACATATGACATAAGCAGGGAATAAGTGGGACATTGTTTCTGCTGGACGTTATGCTCATACATCTGTCAGACTGACATTTGGTTGTAGCATAATGTGTTTCTGTTACATTTGAAACCGACAAAATGGATTGATTTGTTTGTTTTGAGGATGATATTTGATAAAAAAGCTGTGAATCACCATCAACCCGAAAGGAGAAAGAGACCCACCCTGTTTAAAAGCCGCGTGACAATCACTGCCTTTTACCACAGTATGATTAATAAGTTAACATACAGCTCAAGTTAGCTTAATGAAGCTAAACATTAACGCTTTATTTTTGTTGGTCGTCCTGCTGAGCGAAGTTAAAAAGGCCGTTGTTTTGCTATTTAAAATGAAGGAAGTGAGATATAAATGAAGAAGCAACACTTCCTGTAAACATAATACCCTTCACTGAACATGAAATGAAGCTTTTCCCTCTCAGCATCTTTGCACCTATTGTCTTATAATTGCTGCTAATGTGAAGTGATAAGTGAACAACAGCAATTGCGAAACCACAAAGTGTATTTGTAGGTGCAGTGATGCTCTGTGGCTGAAATGTGAGTGCTGTGCTAAATATGAAATGTCTCTGTTTCTGTGAATAGGAGTGGTCGCCTCTCTCGCTCTATCTTCTAATGATTAGATAAGATTAAAAAAAGAGGTTTTCATGGTCACCGTAGCGATACGACGAAATGTTTTATTACTTTGCATCGTATGTGTAATAAACATCAGCGTCAACGCACGTCCAACACACACTCTGTAGCAGCGCGGGGCAATTAGAGGCAAACTATACCATCAGAAGCAAGCGAAATGGAGAATCCCAACATGCGGCATGTACAACCCCCCCCGTCCCCCCAAATACACCCTTTAACTGTGATTAAGTTCACCGCTGCATATGATAAGCCTATTTCTCACCTTACTTATGTCCACCTAATCCTCTTGAAGGGCCAATGAGTGAATACAGTCTCCAAGGGCAACCGGTTAACATGAGATTTGGAGACCCCGGCCTGCACACACGCTCGCCTCTTAGCGCCCTTTAGCCTCAGCGCAAATCACTGACCCGAAAAGTCCGCACGCCCGGGCCGTCTGCAGAGGAGAGGCCCTTTATAACAAGCCCCGGCAGGTGTGAAGCCCTAACAGGCAAATCCTGTCAGATCATCATGAAGCTGTTCAATCAACCCTTCGGGAACAGGAGGCGTGCCAGTTACATGTCATACAATCAAAGGGACGAATCCAGTTTACTGTTTGGAAGAGCTCATTTTACCTGAGCAGACACACCAGCAGGAAAACCCTGCATTCGTGCGGTTTTGACCTCTGACCTCAACCTGAACGGGTTACACAGGTGTAATGACAGGTGCAGTTTGAGCAGCTGATATAAGGGTGAAATTACAACAAAAAAAAGTTGTCCAACTGCAAGTGTCACTCAGCAGAGCGGCTTTTTGAGTCCACAATGGTAGAAGAAAAAAGAGCAGGCAGATGCCGTGTTTGCGTCATTGTCTGCCCACAGCGAGGTCACCGATGGTGTAAACGCCGGCCCTTCTATCTCCCACTGTGGAGGCCGCTCATCCTTTCTTTTCACAAGCATGGGGCCCCCTTAACACCGTGAAGGACACCCCCGTCTCCTCGCCAAACACACATTTATACACGCACTCACAGCCTGTGGTACAGCTGGCCTGCGGGAAAAGATGTCACACTTTAACGTGGCAGGCAAAGGGACCCACGCCATTCATCGCACACACACACACACACACACACACACACACACACACACACACAGCAGACAGTCACAGTGGCTCCTCTGTGGCTTATCACGTCAAAACATATTTGAATGGGCCCCTAGAACGCTGCGTGCCAACCCAAATCCAAGAATTTAGTCCGCCCACATAATTCACTCCAGTGGACGCGCTTTGTGTTTGTTGTCACCAAAGGTGCAATTGTTGTGTTTTTATTTCGCAGTGCGCGTTAGATTATTTACCGGCAGTCGGCCGCAGGATGATCTGATGGGTTTAGCCTCTGGTCCGTGGGGGGTTGAATACAGGCTGTTGGCTCTTTGTTCGCCCGCGGCGGTGTTGCAGATCTGGGTGAAGTAGCCCGGCGGCACGGTGCTCATCGGCGGGCTGGACAGTCCGGTGCTGAAGAACTCGTGCTTCCCTCCTGCGGTGGACACGACCTTTATCTTCTGCTGAGGGAAAGACATCAGCCCCACTGCTGCTGCTGGTGCTGCTGGTGCTACTGGCCGACCCGGAGCCGGAGAGACGCCTTTCGGCATCCGCATCATTTTCCTGAGTGAACTCAATTTAACCGGATCGGTCGGGTCTGGCGGCTCCGCGCACACCGATCAATGCTGCGCTGCGATCGGGCCCCTTTGATGCGGAGAGCCGGTGCTGCTGGAGGCTCGGCGTGAATGTGTGTCTCTAACCCTGCCACCCCCCCTACCCCCAAAAAAAGTCAAGAGCAACTCAAACAGATGAAATCCATCTAGTAAAATGCTAAAAAAAAAAAAATGCACGGGAAGCCGCCGACCCGTCGGTGTTGTTATCCTTTGTCCGATAACAAAGTGCAGAGGAAGACCTGCCCCACAGTTTACAAAATAAAGCTTGCCTGTTAAATCAATAAAAGATCCAGTATTTTAAAGCCCAGTAGCAGAAGGCTTCTACTGAGAGCAGGTTTTCCTCGGTGAGATTGGATTAGATTACAGTTTATGACGACGTCCTCCGCTGCAGAATCCGACCCGGTGCGTTACGCTGTTCCGTCCACCGCGCAGTTCCGCTTCGCATCAGAATAGGACAGGAGCCGAGGAAGAAGAGCGATTTTTAGCGCCAAACTTCGTCCCGCGAAATTCAGATCTCCCGCGGTTGGAAAGGGCATCTGATTGGCTCGCGGCACGTTCGGCTTGTCGTATTTGCATAAACCAGTTGTACGCGGATGTGACGGGTGACTTCTTAAAGAGACAGTAGCGTCATTTGGGGGACATACTGTTCGTTTGTGTATCAGGCTGGAGTTTAGAGACAATGACCACTTAATATTTGAATTGAATGAGTCCAGTCTACATAACCAGAAGTAGTCGTATACAAGAAGAGGGTTGTTACTGTGATGTTACAGAACTTGTGCTTCTCACAGGCCGCGATACACATTGACTCATAAGTTACTCGTAACTTAGATCATATTACGCTTTAATTCAATTTCTAAAATTACAGGGGTATAATTTACAAATGAAATCGAATGTAAAAGTAAAAGTGCACAGTGATACTTAATGTATTTTACTATATATACATAAACTTGAGGTTTTGCGTGAGGCTGAAGACAGGGGGGATTAGATACTGTGCATATGTTTTTCAAATAGTGGGGAATTGTCTTACTCTCGTTTTGGAGACACTCTGTTTACTCTGAAATACAGGGAAATATACATACATACAACAATATGATAAATAGGATGTTACTACGTATGAAAATAATTTAATGGGCCATTTATAAAATAAGAAAGAAGGCCTTTCAATTCCCATGGAAACCAAGATGTCCACTTGATGAAAGTATAGTGGCCTGTTGCAAGGTGTTGCTGGGGATGGTTTGTAGATTATAATTGGATTCATTTAGTACCACTCTTGCTTATTGGCTCAGAGGAGATATTGAAAGAAAACAACCCCTCCCCCACCAGCAGCAACCAGACCGAAGCCATATGACATGACCCCATTGGCCCAGCAGAGCAGACTCCCATCCAAAGCCTACTCTATTGTCGTCTGTCGTTTTGGACCACATTTCATCATCATTTGAAATTAGTCAAATCTAACACTTTTCTGAGAGCAAGACATATTAGTTGTACTTTATTTGGTCAATATTGAACCCAATGACTTACATGGTAAACAAATGATACAGATACTAGAAATACTGACAGAATCGCCATTCAATATACTCAATAACTTCCTCTCGCATTTCAAACTACGAGAATTTGTACAATGCATTAGAGATGCCGTGCAGTCATAGTTGTTACATTTTATGATCCCTTTTTGTAAGACAATGTTCCCCGAGTTGCAAAATATCAATGAAAGAATGAGGAAACTTCCCCTCCCCTGTCTTAAGAGAGCATGTGCTAATGTGACTGCAAAGCTCAATGTTAAATTGGGGTAAAAAGGAATTGACTGACAACACAACAGCGTTTGCGTGAATCAGAATTAACAAAATCACACCATTAGCATTTTTATACAATTAATTGTCATGAAACAATTTTCTAAACCTCTACAAGTTTGTTTACTTTAAAGTGTAAATGGAGGAAATAAAATGCGTCGTGTATGTTCAAAGTCATTGTGAGGTTGGTGTGAAGAACGTCACACTGGGGCCTGACAAACAAAGCGATGTTGCAACAACGTAAATAACAATGATGAGCTTTAGTTTGACCGATGCTGCAACGTGACACTGCTGCACCGAGTCGGTTGTTTGCGGTTCAAGTGGCTGATGAGTTACACGGATCGCAGTTAGGCCTAATGTCACGTCGGGGATTTCCAAACGAAAGTGCTTTAATCAAACGCCGACAGGGATCCGGGACTCACAAACAGGGTGACTGCTTAAATACGCTGGGAAGGTTGGACACAGGTGGAAACAAGCAGGGACACGGCAGACCATCACAGGGGGTGATACAACAGGGCAGGAAGGGAAGCTGAGGCAGGAAACTTTCAAATAAAACAGGAAACAAACACACACCTTGACTCCTGAGTCACTTTCTGCTCAGTAATATCTCGCTCATATCAAAACAATCTGGGTTTGTAACAAGGTCAAAGGGTTTCATTTACATGTCAAAGGAGCCCTTGACCTGCAGAAGTTCACTTTGACCTCCAAAGCATCAAGTTTATCTTGTGTTCCAAGTGCTTAAATTCCTGGGACATCAGAGGCCAGTTGTTGCTGCATCCTAATCCAACACCTCCACCTGGTGGTGTTAACGGGGATCTGGTTTTCAGCACTGAAGCCCGTTCTTTGAATTTGATGAATGAATAAAGGTGTGCCTGGTATATTGGATATACGTATTGCATACATGTGGTTTGAATTTGAAGTTAATGCCTTACAGCATAATTCAGCTGAACTTCACGCCTCAAATTCATATTCAACTTTGTTGCAATTGTGCAAGTATAAGTACTGATACAATGCAATATAGTTCAAAATCAAACAATTAATAACAATAATCAGCAAGAGGTCTATAAGAATATACTAGATGTATACAGTTTAACAGTGAAATGAATAAGCTTTAATATGTGAATATGACCAGCAATTAGCCAACATATATAGTGCAGAAGCCAATAGTGTAGTAGTTTGTATACAAATACACTATAGGTGATAGATAGGGAAGTTTGGCAAATACTTGTGAGGGCAAACACAGGTGTGAGTAAAGTGGCAAGATTCCATCCATCCATCCATCCATCCATCCATTGTCAAACCGTTTATCCTGCACACAGGCTCGCAGGGGGGCTGGAGTCCATCCAACCAACTTCGGGCGATACACGGGGTACATCCTGGATTGGTCACCAGCCAATCGCAGGGCTACACAGAGACATACAACCATTCACACTCACATTCACACATCTACGGGCAATTTAAAGTCCCCAATTAACCTGATCCCCAGAGCATGTCTTTGGACTGTGGGAGGAAGCTGGAGACACAGGGAGAACATGCAGACTCCACACAGAAAGGGCGGAGTTGAACCCAGGACCTTCTTGCTGTGAGGCGACAGTGCTGACCACCACGCCACCGTGCCGCCCAACAATAAATCAATTTTAAAAACAGTGTAATGGAAGTAGTATTTGTTTCAAATTGCACTGTAGTTGATATCCTAAAACTCTCCACAATATATGAAGTGTGTTCTGTGTTTAGCTTGGAAATGTTGAACCAATAGCACGTTTTTAACACTAGATGGTGGTGCAACCGTATTATTTGCATGGTGAAGGTTTGGACTGGGTCAATTTATGCAACGCTTTGGCTCTAAAGTGGAATCTAGTGCTTTCCTGCAAGTCTCTTTGGTAGGAAAGATAATCTGATGTTTAATTGTTGCTAATGATCTAGGTTAGGCAATAGTATTATATGTCAACATCTAATGTCTGAAATTACAGATGAGTCCACAAGGTGGAGTAGTTAGGTAACCTTTGAGACCAGCTACAGTAATTGTAATAAGAGAGTTGTAATTTTTCCACCTAATTGATATTCCATAGGTGAAGCTGTCACATCAGTCATTTAATAAGGTCTTACAGTAGTTTCATTTGTAAAGATGATCCTCTTCAGCTCCATGGTCAAGGCAACACGTTGATCAGGCGCCATGAACATTCATTGCTTTCGAGATTCATGAATGATGGTTCCGATCACATAACATCCTCCCCGCTTACACCGTGAAGAGAGTTCAACTGCTCTAACTGAGTCTTTGGAAAATTAGACGCACTTCAAGGAAACTCCCCTTGTTTCATTTGCAACCACTGAACCTCAAGATTCATCTGAAGACATCCTGTTGTATCAGCATTTCATTGTCATCCACAGACACAAAAAGTCACATCAGCATTCCCTTTGTTTTCTGAAAAACGGCATCTACTTTTCACACTCAGGTGTTATGTATACCACAGAGGCCAATTTGTTTCACATCCTTTTTTTATTTCATTACATACATAGCAAACTTTATAATTAAGAGTTTATGAAACTCACAGCACATTGTCTGTAGAAATAACACAATCCCTACAAACATTTACAATTAACTCTAGTATAGAGTTCTGATTATACCTAATAAAACCCAAAGTCCCATTCAGAAAAAACAACAACATCCAAATTGACTCACGCCATACATACCCACAGCGGATATGCACACATTCGTAAAAAGTAGCAACAGTCTCCGGATCATTAGAAAGTCAGATTGGATGGGGGGAAATTACACAGGGGTTAATATGTGAGATGATGCGAGACGTGTTGAAGAGGGGGTTCTGGTTGGGTGAAGAATTTAACCCACGCGAAGAAGGTCTGGAATGCAACGCAAAAATGAAAATAAAACAATGTACCAATGGTTCTACTTCTACCTATAGGGGGGTTCCAGGTTTTTGGGAGGAGGGTATAACAAAGCTTGTTGCTTTCAATTTCCAATCCTGGCTTGCGCTTTGGTGTGTTGATTTGTCTGTCCCGGGGGCCAAAGAAGGAGTCTCTGTTTTCTTGCTCACGCACCACTGTTGATCCCCACTCATCGAGGAAAGGGTCCACTTTTTCTGTCTTTTCTTCTTTAGACCCTCCTCCTCCTCCTTCTTATTCTTCCTCTGCTCTCCCAAATACCTATCCCACCCTTTCTGCCCCTCTTGTCCTCTTGCCCGGAGTGAAGTGGAGACATGTGTTTCCCTGCACCTGCATGGAAAGAAAGGAAGAAAAGTGAAGTCAGATCTCTCCCTCTCACCCTCCCCTCCCTCCCTGCAGAGGGAGAGCAGACAGACTGGCGCCTAGCAGGGAACTTTCATTAACCCCAGGCAGATACCAATGAATCCGCTACACATTCACTGGTCTGTCTAATTGGCAACCCTAATGCGCAGGGCAAGGAGACCTTGGTCTTAACAAAGCGCGCACTATTCTCGCTCATGTTAAACGTTGCATTTCCAAATCATTTCAATTTGAAAATGAGAACACCACAACGTTGGAATTCGAGTGTCCCCAAATATATTCCGTGCGCGCACCCGCGTATCTCGTGATCACGGCGATTCCCGGAGGATACGTTAAGAATCGTTATCAAACAGTAGATACATACCATGATCTGCGGTCCTCCTAATGGCACAACCGCCCTTCTTCTTTGGAGAAA